TAGCGACGAAACCGTACAATATTCCGTTTCATCACTGCACTTCTGGCGTGCACTTTTCCATGCGGTTCCCCACTACCAGCACCGGCTGGCCGCTATCTGTATATTGTGAATTTCTGCAGTCTTCACGTGGATGAAATTGGTTTAGGTTTGTTTCTAATTTCAGTAACAATGACAACAGTTAGTAAGAGAATTAGTAACTGATTTAAATTTTGATGCTGTTACACATCTATTAAATAATGACTTTCGACTTTTTACGTACGATGATCAATTCCTTGGATATAAAAGAAATGGGCCGTTCGGAGCCGCGCATGCAACATTTAATCGAAGCACGGAGCAATAATAACGTCAGCTCGGGTGCAATAGCATATTAATGATTAATAATAATTAATACAGCATGGTATGAAAATTATGAATGGCTGACGGGGAGCAAGTCAAAAATAGTACATTATGGAACTAGTGGATGAAGTTGAATTTCAACGGCGAGAGTGATTTTTTCACACGAGCGAGTGCAACGAGCGAGTGCGAAAAAGAAACTCGAGCCGTTGAAATTTCTTCATCCGCGAGTTGCATATACTATTTTTTCTAAGAAATTAGGAAATAAATGTTTGTTTATGGTAGGTATTTTATTTTTGAAATACATTAACTGTAATAGAACAATTTGTGCAATTATCACCAATAATATTTACACTTTTATCGTAAGTATTATTTGAACTTGTATCTTTGTTTAAACTTAGTTGGCTGCTTCCTGTATCAATAACTGCACTTGTATCAGATTCGAAAATGCCGCATTGGCAGCATTCAAAATTTCTTCAGAAACTTCGTCAGTCTCACTCATGTTCATTGTTTTCACTTGTGTAAACTAGCAGTATTAAACGTCAAACACTAACGGGTCGTCCAGCCTAGGCGTCATGATTTTCGAAGCGCGCGAAGCGGACGGTGCGGTCGGTGCAGGCGATACGCGACACGTTTCGCTAGCTGCGAAACGCTCAGGCTGGACGACCCGTTAAAATCGTAGACGGCCGAGTATTTTTCCACTAGAGGGTGAAATGAAATTTCATCCACTGCCAGCGATGGGAAAATGACAAACTTCAACCTTAATGAGTAGAAAAACAAACTATTTTGTTGGTATTGTTTAATTTTTGGATATGATGTTGACAATAAATTCAAAAAAACTTCAGAAAAAGAGTTTTGCCTCTGGTCCTCTGGTATGAATGACATATTGAGTTACCGTGCTCTTTTGCCATCTTCCTAATTTCTCAACCCTGCTCCTGATGATGCTACTTACGAAAATGTAGAAGCCTCCGGAATTATTTCTGTCTTTAATTTTAATCATATAGGTACCATCCACATCAGCATATGTTGAACGCAGTTTTTCAGCTTTAAAGCGAATTACAAATTTTATTAGAAACTCCATTAGTCAAAATCGATTATCTAAATTATTCGTTTTAGCAATAGAAAAAGAAGTGCTTACAAACTTAACGGAAGATCAAAAGTTCTATAATCAAGTAATTGACCACTTTGCCAATACAAAACAAAGACGCATGGAATTGGTTTATAAAAATTTCTAATTTACTTTTTTAATTTTGTTTTTTACTAATAAATAGTTGTTGACGTTTCATGTTGTTTTTTATTAGAATGTGTTAATTTATAACTTGAATGTTATTTTCATTTTTATTTGAGTTTATTGTCGTTATTTTATTATTATAGATGGCTTATATTGTATAAGTATATGCTTTACTTTATACCTATTTGAAGAATATTTTTTATTTTGTTTTACCAAGTTGTTAGGACTATATGAATTAACACCATACAGGTAGCAAATTATAGATAATGACTAACTTGAGGTCCCTGGTTCTTGTATTCTATGTCTTAAAACTTTGGGTTACTCACTGCTGGCCGACCCAACCAAAATAGTCACGAGCCGCCACTGAGACCTACAATAATATATGGAAGCGAGAGCTGGGTGTTAAATGATGCACTGAGGAGCAGTTGAATGTTTTAAAAATCGGAAAAATTTATTTTTTTTTTTTAACTTTTACTTCTTGTGCTTCAAAAACTCTCAGAATATGTAAAAAAATATGTAAGCCAAGTGAGGACCAAAAAGAATTTGGAAATTCGCAGTAGAAAAACCATTGACACGACTTAAATTTAACACCATGTAAATTCCTACGATGCATTCATAAAAAACCCACTGTAGGAATATAACGGGTATTCAGTTGAAAAAGTCATCAAGTTGGTGTTGCTTGCTTGATAGAAGAAAACGTAGCGAAAAACGCATGTGCTAACTTGATGGCTAGATTATATGGTTTGGTACCTATTTCTTGATATGAATTGTCTCGTACATATCAAAAGTGGTATAACAGAATTATTTGCTAATGATGAGTGTTAAGTTTATTCACAAGAAGCGCTATCCAAATTGTGAGTTAACATGAATATGATAATAATGCATTAGCTCACTTATAAGTATAAAATTTTATGTTCGACTTCAGAACATGCTAAATATCATTTTGGATAAATGACAAGGTAGGTATTTGTTTTAGGAAATGAATGGGTAAGTCACGTGAGTGCGATAATGTGACACCTTCTGCACTAATGCGGTAATGTAACCTAAATAACTACTTCCTCATTCAAATGAATGTTTTAAGTTAATTTTTCAGTGCTGTCAACAATTGTAGACAAAAAAAAATATTTCGTTGTAAATATATAAATGTTCTTATCTTCTTATTTAAAATGAAAAAAGTTTATTTTCATTGTCTAGTTGATTATTAAAAACCATAAAAATCAGAGCGGTCGGAAATATGCAAAATTTAAACATTCATAGAGAGAAGTTCATTGTAAGGGAACATAAAATGTACTAAATTAATTTGTGTGAATCACCTATACCTACAGTTTTTACTTCCTTAGCGCAAGCTGAGGAATAACTATTGCAATGGATCTATCCGACGAATGGCTAGTTTCATCATTTCTGTACGTGTCGTGATCCCCATAGTACGAAACAGTAAGTTTCCCGTTTCCCTCTATCCGTCTGTCTATCTGTCTGCTGCTTGTCTAGTTTTTACGAGATAGGTAATCTCCGAAACTACCTAATCGATTGTTGTCAAATATTAGATGTATGAATATCATGTAGATGGTAAAACGCTAACCAAAATTTCTCTAATCACCCCCACAAATGATGGAATGACCTCATCTCCAAAATTTACAATAGTAAAGTTATTTAAATTTGATAAAATAACATATATACCCCTGCACTTGTAGTTTATGAATTCGTGTTGAGTTACCCTGGACATTTGGATTCAAAATTGTGTCATATTTTGCAAATTAATTTTGTATGTAACTGCAAAAATATAGTAATGTATAAATAGTTAATCAAAAAGTATCCCTTTATTCCCTCCCAAAAAATTAACGGCATGTCATCACAAACTTTTAACGTATAAATTATAAATGTAACTTAAATTTTATAAAATAACATATTTCTGCACTTGTGATTTTTGAATCCGTGTTTGAGTTTTTACCTTCGATTTCCAGATATGTATTTAGAAAAAAAATCAAAATTGTGTAACATTTTTCATTTTTCATTTAGCTGTGGAAGCGAAAAACCGAAAAATCGAATGATTCGAAATATTTTGAGTCTTTTCTTGTGGTTTATCAATGCATTCATGTATTTTTTTGTTTTATACAGGTTATCACAAAAAAATTCGCAAAGTCAAATTTTATAATTTTTCAAAGAAGCGGGATTTGTTGGCCTGTGCATACTTCAGGGGTGAATGAAGTTCTGTCGAAATAACTTCCCACTTTTTTTTTTAATAATGTAATCAGTAATCTATAAGTAAAGTAATGCAAATTGCAAAAATTCAAAGGCTGCACCAGGCTGCACTGTCACCAACCTAAAGGTCAAATCCGGAATTAGACACACCCATCTGTACCACCCATACCATAATACTTTGGGTTAACTTCAATGCAAGTTTGCATATTTTGCAGTATTATAATTTTTGATTTATTGCTTGTATGATATGTTAGTTCCAAATATGTTATTTTTATTTAGGTATTTACAAATTGTTTAATTTTGCAGTAGGCAACCAGTGATACTGATGTATGTCAACACCATTCTTCCTCCATGGTCACATTGATTAAATACGTATTTAATCATTGATGGTCAACACTAGGTCAACAGTCAACACATATAATATATAAACAGTATAAATTAAAATTGGTCCAAAGTTATTTCGACACAACTTCCCTCGCCCCTGAAATACAATAAAACAAATCCTGCAGCTTGATAAGAAAATAAAAAAGCCAATCAAAACAATTTTGTTAATTTTTGTATATCTTAGGTACTGAAAATTGTGGCATGTTATTCAAAAACTAAGTCAAATAAAGGACTACCTACCACTATTTTACAATATGCTAAACTGCCTTTGAAACAGATCTTATTGTTGCTGATTTTAAAATAAAATGTAAGTGCTTTGTTTCATTCAACTTGTTGCATATCATTGTAATCGCAATTTAACAGTCTATCAAATTCCGTTAAAATGTTGCAATTTAAAAAAAAATAGGTTTTCGTCGCGACAACACCATATGTCCACTATATTTACAGTGTACTAAATTAAGGTTTACCCTTCAAGCTGAAAACAATGGCGTTTATAAAATTTCAATATCTCTATCTGTTCTCAAGATATAAGGCCGCAGATTTAACTGGTACACATAATTAATTATAACAAATATTACTACGAATTGTAAAAGTCAATACCAGATAATAATAATTTAATAATAATAAGACACAATTTTAATAAATACAGTGCTTGTTCAAATTTAAAACCTTTTGGGGTTAAATGTTGTTTTGTTGTATATTCCAAGAAATTTAAAATTCTTATTTAAAACATTTGTAAAATAAACTCCAGCAGCAACCAATGGGAAAACGATTTCGTCGAAATTTTGAGGACCTGGCGCACAATCGACCAATGGGAAAATAGCATATCCTTAATCCTTATGACATGTGATGCCAGCGTCTACGGTCTGTGGTTGCCTACGTCTCTACGTTAATTAGTGCCGTTAGTCGTTAAATGGTCGTTAATGGTCTTGTTATTATATTGTAACAATAATATTAATAATAATAAATTGTGAATTGTGAACAAGAAGGTTTAAATGTATGTACTTATCTTCAATATCTTTGATTGTGAATAACATAACATAACCTCAAATTCGTGATCAAAATGTTCAATCAAAACAATGAAGAAGAAAAGAAACTCGACTGGATGTACAAAGTAAGTCAGCTCATTATTTTATTTTTATTTAGTTAACAGATTAAAATAAATTGGTAGGGCCCTAATAGTACGGTCAGTCGAGAAGAATACCTACTCGGGAGGCCAGTTGACAAAACTTTAGAGCAACTAAACGACGAAGAAAAAGAGAAACAGAAACAGCAAAGTCTCCTTCCTGTACCGAAAAACCGTGTAGAGCACGAATGTATTCCACCATCGATTAGAGATTTCAATAAGCTTGTCCAGGCAGAACAGGTATGTCTAAATCACATGTTTACAACTTACAACAACGATCTAACGTGAACTTTTAGGTGGATTTGTCGACAAAATTGCAAGAGGATCCTCTGGTTGCCATAAAAAAGCGAGAAGAAGAAACTAGGCGGCAATTTTTACAAAACCCTGTTCAGCTGAAAAAATTACAGAAGGCCTTGAAAGCTCAACAAGCAAAAAAGAAGAAGAAGAAGAAAAAGAAGTCAAAACAGTCGAGCGACTCTGACAGCGATTTAGACCAGAAGTTGGCGGAAAAATTATTAGGGAAAAAAAGTAAAAAAGTCAGTAAAAAAGAGCGCCAGCTTGACACAATATTGATCCATAAGTTTGAAGCGTTGAAAGACAAACTCAGCGAAAGTGATTTGCAAGATATTTTAAGTGGTCAGTTCACTGACTGCGACGATAGCAGTGAAGAGGAAAAAGTGAAGAAGTCACGGAAAAAGCGGGAGGAAAGTTCTGATGAGTCTGAGGAAGAACGAAAAGAAAGACGCCATAGAAATGTAGATAGAAACAAGAGTAAAAAAAGACGAGATTCCAGTGATGAAGACAATTCCAAGAAAAAAAAGAGCAAAGGGCGAGAGAGGTCGAAAGTTAATGATCGCGACAAAGAACGTAGACGAAATACTGGAAGAAACAAAAGTCGGAGTAGAAGCCCGCCTAATAAATCAAGTTCTGAGAGTGAACCTGAAAGTAGGCACCGCCACTCGAGACATTTTGACAGCGACGACTCTGATTCTTCCAAAAATAGGAAAATGAGTTATGGTCTTGTAAGTTCTGATGGCAAAAGCATCCCATTATCAAGAAAACTTAGCAGCGACAAGCAAGACATGAAAGACAAAACAACAAAAACGAAGGAAACAACGCCCCCAATTCAAAAACGAAAAGCGCATAAATTAACTGAAGAAGAGAAAGAAAAGTTGAGACAACAAATGATGGAGAATGCAGTCTGGCGCGATAAAGAACGGGTGCATAACGTGAGAAAGTATCGCGAAAGAGAAGAAAAAGAGAAGAAGGAACAGAGTTTTGACCCTGATTTCATCCACAAGCAATTGCTGAAATCTGCTGACAGTAGTAGCGTTGAAAGTAGAATTAAGTCAAATTTAAATAAAATTCAGAGGTCTAGTAGAGACATGGATAGACATTTTTCCAGAAGGTAGTAATGTTTTATTTATATTTTTCACAAAGTGTATATTTATTGTAAAATAAAGCATATTTGTTTAATATTCGCATTTTTGATCTTCTGCAAATGTAACAGCTTTAGCTTTACGTTCCTTTGTCAAGCAGTCATCCTCTGGAGGAAGTTCAGGTTGGGCATTTTCACATATATGTTTGTGCTTTCGGAGTATCCTGTCATAGTATTTTTTGATCTTTTCTTCCTCTGTATCATACTCCGTTGTTGCTGAAATTATATTACATTTTATTTCTTAACTTTTTGTGTTTTTTCTTACCAATTCTTTGTGCTTCATCCTTGCAAGCAAGATCGGGAACGGGTGCTGTTGTAATGGGATATGGACCGTCATTATTTACAGGCTGTATGCCAAATGGTGGCACATTATGTTCTGGTACTACAAGTTCTTCTTTGGGATATTCCTTTTGGAAGGTTGTATCTTCAATAGCAGAAATGCCAAATTTATCCAGGCATTTTTCCATTTCCGTTTGAGTTACTTTTAGGTCATCACCTTTAAAACTTTATAATATTTGGAAGTACTAAAAGTTAAAACGTACCTATAGCATCTCGTTCTTCTTTTTCAATCTGCATCTTATTTTCTTCCATCAACTGATTAATGTCGTCATTAAGATATCCTTTGTTAAACATGAAATTGCGTATATTTTCAATTACTTCACACGGGAATTTACTAGAATTGGCTTGCATGTAGCGGTACACATATAAATCAGCTCCAGTAATAATAAATCGTTGCTGAAACACCGTGATAATAGCACCAATGTAGAAGTCAATAGGGGTGTAGTATTCAGGATCAAGTGGATTAGTACCAGGTTTAGGCAACAAGGTACTTTTTAAATACTTTCCACCAATAATACCAGAATTAATGATTGGCGGTTCGAAAATTTTACAAGTACTGTCGCCTAACGAGTAGTTTAAAATAAAACGTCGAATCGTATCCTCGGGATGAATATCTTCCATCTTCATTTCGTATCTCAGATACTTGTTTGCGTTCAAGATCTGTTTAACCATGTCTTTTCTGGGTGGTCTTGGCAAAAATGTTATCGTGTTTTGCAGCGAATCTTCTAAGCTGCCAATTCCATCGTGCGGCGGGATTTTTCGCTCTGGAGGAGGTTTCGGCTTTTCAGAGACGTCAATGGGAGAACCCTGTTCTATACAAAGAGCTTTTTTGAAGTAGTTTCTGGTGAAACTATCGCAGTCATAAAGAAGCATTTTTCTTCCCAAAACGAATATAGTTTCGCCGACTCGCAGATCTTTCGGTTGGTAATATTCGGTGACTTCTTCGTCAGAGCGTTCGAGGTAGATTGAAGGAAAATTTATCGGCCGATCAGTCCATATCTGCAAGATTTTTTCTTAAATTTGATTTTTTTCGTGTTCTTATAAATTACTTTGGGGAGTTTGGTTTTTCGTAATAGTTGCGAATACGGATCTCTGCCATCGTTTTTGGTATGGATTTCTTTCACTGCCACCGTATCGTCATGAAGAAAGTACATGACTTCATATTTTCTTATGTCACCGTATTCTGAATCGCGGTCATCCCAAATAGCTTTAAATCTGCAACAAAGAAGATATAACACTAATTACTAAGCAGAGTGACCAATTTAAGAACAAACCTGAGCACTTTGCCATCATATTCTAAAAATCGTCTGAAGTTATCATCTGAGGATGGTGTTTTAGTGAAAGTATTGTGACTAGATGAACTCATAAGTCTGCTCTGGGTGTAAGGGTCAGGGGGTAGTTGTTCAGGATCGGCCATTACTAATCCTTGACTCGCCATATATTCCCTAGTAAAACCATCACAGTCTACCAAATGGTAAACCACTCCATAGAATACAATATTTTTTCCAACGCCAAAATCTTTCCAGTGCCAGTACTCTCCTGCCAGATTTTTAGGAACTCTATGTCGCTTTAAAAGTCTTCCTTGGTCGATACCACTATTCTAAAGATAGATCTTTAAATAACCAACCAAGAGATTTTGTTAACTTTGGTAGGTACCGGCGTTCTAGGTTCCATAACAGTTATCGAATCGTCCTCCAAAAAATATATAATGTTGACATGTCTGACCCTATAGTATTCATTAGGAGATTCAACAACCCCCTGCTTGAAAAAAGCTTTAAAGGTGAGGCATTTTTGGTCATATAAGGCAAAATGCGGTTTAAAAATGTTCACAGCGACGGCTTTCGTTTTTCCATACGTAAGTGAAGGGTCAAAGCGAACTGGGTCGTTCGTGTTAATGAATTTTACAGAATTTGCATTTAGTTCTCGATTTCCTATTCCTCTGTAATTGTACTTTGGTACTTTATATCCGTTACACACGTTAAAAGTTTGCGATAAATGAAAACTGGAAAGCTATTTTGGCGTCAGTAAAGAAAAAAATAAATGTAAGTATTTACCGTGGGATCTGTAAACGTTAGTCCCGGTAATTTAGGCAAACCTGCCATTTTCACCACTTAAAAGAAATAAAAGAAACTTCAATTGACCAAACTTCATGTCACCATAGATATTCAAAAGTGGCGCTCTTTGCGTCAATTCAAGTTTGTCGTTTGACAGATGACAGTTGATGGAAGTCGCCGCGGCTTTATATTTAGAATGTTTTTGAAGTCAGTTGTCGTAAGTGATAAAATTAAAAAAAATCGTTGTGTGTGTAACAAAAACACTTATAAATAAGTCCCAAGCTTTATCTAACGGTGTAAATGTTATCTGTAAACAAAATTGCTTGTTAACCTTACTTTTTCAAAATGTCTATTTCTGTTGCAAAAATTGTAAATCTACCGCAAGCGGCTTTAAAATTCTTAGTGAAAGATGAAATTGAAGATGAACCCGTACGAGGTAGGTTTTGATTGATAAAAGTTCGTTATTGAGGCGTAATTTTCGAATTTTCGTTTTAAGAATACAAAACCATTGGAGGGGTGCTGTCTGATGCAGATTATGCGTGGTTAGCGAGCGGGCCCCGGTTAGAAATCGTCCATACCAGGACTGGGAGTAAAGTGGGAGCTTGGACTTTTGGCTGGGTTTTGAAAGACTCGAATACGGAAGTAGTTTGTGTGGATGAAATTCAAAGACCTAACGGGAGGTTGCCATTGTTGGCTGTGGGTCTAGATTGTGATTATAGTGATGGCATGATTTGTGTCTTTGATTTTGTTACTTCCAAAATTATTAGAGCTATACACATAGAGGATAAAGTATGTGTATTTGCAATTCTAAAGTAATGTAGCTAAGTCATTCATTTTTAGATTACTAGTTTACACGTTATTGATGCTGGATATGACGTATTTACTTTACCAGGTCCTTTGAGAAACTTTGATGGCATTATTGCTGTAGGAACAGCAGGAGGGAATGTGTTTTTAGTAGATGTTTGTAGACAGATCTGTGATGAAGGTGCTTGTTGTAATATTTACTGATCTTGAAAGTAATTTATAACTTTTAGCGTTAACACCTGGGGGTGTAAATGAAATAAGGGATGAACTAAATCCATGTTCACTACATGACGTTACTTCAAAGGATTTGGGAAAAATTGAACACCAGAAAGAATTTGCAATTAGAAATAGTCACCACCTTGCAATACATTTAAACAGTAATATTGCTTTCTTTGGTTGATTTTTTCTACCTAGTGTTTTTTGTAGTTGTTTTTGATAAATCAACAAAACACTTCATCCTAAAGGGCCCTAAAGGAGATGATCGAATTCATGTTAATAAAGATGAAGTGGCAGTTAGCGCTTTGTATTATTGTCCCCAACTTGGTTCCTTGTTGGTAGGTTATAATTTTGGAGCCCTTCAACTGTATAATTTAATGAATTTAGAACTGGTGTATACATCTCCAGTGTGTGATGAACACATTCCTATATCACATTTTGCAATACAGGTCAGTATTAAGAAACGCCGCCAAATAGAAAAGAACAAATTTGATTTAAGGAACCTGCTGATGATCCTCGAGCTGTTTGTTATATTTGGGCTGTATACAGTACAGATGAGGAATGCCCAACTTGCTTACCATTAGCGGTAATGTATGCGTTTTGCTACCAAACTAAAGAATACCATGAAGGTTATGGATGTCTCTATCAAGTAATTTTTTGTGTTTTATTTATGTTAATCATTTATCATGTCTTGTATAAATTGTAGGATTTTAGTAGCGCCTCTGTTCACTATCAAATGGAACTTGGAGTTCCTTCAGGCCATAAGAGAACGTCAAAAAAACGTGGGGGTAATTGTTTAAAAGTAAATTCAATTGTGCATGGTTCAGTAAATAGGGAAGGACCTCATCATGATTCAAATGAAGACGTTCTCACGTTGTGTGTATTTGTGTGGAACGTGTGGTTTAAAAATAAGGAAACTGACACCTTTTTGGCCATTTTTGATTTAAATCAGTGGTATAAAGAACAAATGCCAAGTTAGTTTTTTGTTGTATTTTGTGTTATTTTTATTAAAACGATTTTTTTATTAGATGTTCCAAAACCGCAATATAGTTCGACTTACATGCTTCAGTTGCATCTAAACGATCTAATTAATTCAGCAACTAACAAAAATGCACCTATTCTAAATGTGTACACTAACAAAAATTCCATACAACAGTTTACAGGTGCTCAAAGATTGGAAGAACACTTTTATCCTAATTCCATTTCTTTTGGTAATTCTTCCTATTATATATATTTTTTTTGTTAACTAGTAAATTTCAGATATGACGTGTTTGCGCGAAAGCGATGTAATTTTTCTTCACAATTATGGTGTGCAAAAAGCTTTGTTGGCTCAAATTGAGTCTTCAGGTCCCTTGTGTCTAGTGGAATCAGCAGACATTTATCAGGAAGTGATTGGTTTGGGGCTTGTTCCATTATTCATTGACTTGCCAGTTAATACTCCCGTTTCTACAGTAAATTTGAAAATCCAGTGATAATATTTTTTTTTTAATTAAAATTTCTAGAACCAGCAGAGGGAAATCATATTGGGGGCGGCTCTTGAAAATCATTTAATGGGCTGGCTGTGCAAGTGTGCTTCAGAATGGGCCAACGGAAGTTTTCTTTCAGCTGGGTGCTCCTTAGATTTATTAATCAGTTGGGCGTTTCAAAGAGCAGCCACTCTTAAAACTAATTGCGACAAATTCTGTAAGTTGTTGATTTTCTAGTTGATGTTTATTTATTTTAAATTTACAGGTACCCCTCTTTTTGATTATTCGGAAGCGAGACCCGATAATAACACTAACATCTTACTTAACAGTTGTACAAGGCAGTTGAAGAATTTGTACTCTTTGTATACGTTTGTTTTGAAAAAATTATCGAATTATGTTTCGAATCTTGGTATGGTTCATTGGTTGTTTAAATGTGGAGCAAACGATTTTTTTGTTTTTAGAACTAGTAGGGGAACAGTACAAGTCATTGGAGACTGTTTCAGTATATTTTGAAGTTCTGCAGTGGTTACTAAACGTGGGTTTGTTACCAGAGTGTCCCCTTACTGCTTACCCACGATCTGATGATTTAGAAAGGATTAGTGCTCCTTATCCCGCCGAAATGTTGATCGATTTCTACAATCACAGGTTAGTTTTTATAAAAAAAGCAAATAGTTAAAAATTATCGAAAAAACGATGCATTAAATTGTTGTTTTAGTTCTTTATTTATATGTATTAACAAACAGAAACGGTGGCCTCATTGTTCACTACAATTTTTACTTCCCGAGCGTAAGCTAATATAATATGTCCGTCCGTCTGTCTGTCTGTCTGTCTGTCTGGTGTCTGTATCCATTTTTATTAGGCACGTAATTTTCGAAACTGCTGGATCGATTGTTTTCAAATTTTGTAGGTATATTACAGATAGCATGTAGATGGTTAAATGTTAACCAAAATAGTCCGGTAAATGTGATACGTACCGCTTTGAATTTTTTCCTAACCGTCAAAAGTTTAGCAAAAACAGTATAATAACGGTTTACCATTAGCGTAAGGAATCTCGGTCGTGGTCTAGTGGTTACGAAGCAGGAATGCAGGTCGGACGTCCGCGTGTTTGATTTCAAACTTGGCCTTTCGTTTTTTTTTTTAATATCTATGTTTATGACGTCATAACAAATTTTTTATTGATGAAATTACCCCACTTTCCCAAAAAGGTGAGAATACACCCCTCCTTATTTAAAAATGTAAAACCTTCTCCGGTGTCCCAACTGACTTTTAAAAATGTAAAACTTTCTCGGGGGCCTCAAATGAATTTTTTTAAGAATGTGAAACCTTTTTGCGGGTCCCAATTGTCTGTTTTGAAAATGTAAAACCTTCTCGGAAGCTCCAAATGTCTTTTTTTTGTATGTGAAACCTTGTCGGGGACCCCGAATGTCTTTGTTTTTATGTGAAATCTTCTCGGGGGTCCCAACTGTCTTTTTTAAAAATGTAAAACCTTCTCGGGGGCCTCAGATGTACTTTTTTAAGAATGTGAAACCTTCTCGGGGGCCCAAATGTATTTTTTTAAGAAAGCGAAACCTTGGGGGCCCCAACTGTCTTTTAAAAATGTTAAACCTTCCCGGGGGCCCCAAATATCTTATTTTTTAATGTGAAACCTCGGGGGCCCCAAGGGTCTTTTAAAAATCTAAAACCTTCTCGGGGGCCTCAAATGTTTTTTTAAGAATGTGAAACCTTCGCGGGGATCCTATTTGTCTTTTTTCAAAATGTAAAACCTTTTTGGGACCCAAATGTATTTTTTTAAGAAAGTGAAACCTTTGGGGTCCCAACTTCCTTTTTTAAAAATGTAAAACCTTCTCGGGGGCGCCAAATAATGTCTATTTTTTTAATGTGAAATCTTCTCGGGGGTCCCAACTGGCTTTTTTAAAAATGTAAAATCTTCTCGGGGGCTCAGATGTATTTTTTAGGAATTTGAAACCTTTTCGGGGGTCCAAATGTATTTTTTTAAGAAAGTGAAACCTTGGGGGTCCCAACTGTCGTTTAAAAATGTTAAACCTTCTTGGGGGCCCCAAATCTCTTTTTTTTTTAATGTGAAATCTTCTCGGGGGGTCCCAACTGTGTTTTTTAAAAATGTAAAACCTTCTCGGGGGCCTCAAATGTATTTTTTTACGAATTTGAAACCTTCTCGAGGGTCCCAACTGTCTGTTTTTTCATGTGAAAACCTCTCGGGGGTCCCAACTGTCTTTTTTAAAAATGTAAAACCTCGGGGGCCTCAAATATATTTTTTTACGAATTTGAAACCTTCTCAGGGGTCCCAACTGTCTTTTTTTTAATGTGAAAACCTCTTGGGGGTCCCAACTGTGTTTTTTTTTTTAAATGTAAAACCTTCTGGGGGGGGGGGGCAGATATCTTTTTTTTAATGTGAAACCTTCTCGGGGGTACCAACTGGCTTTTTTAAAAATGCAAAACCTCGGGGGACTCAAATGTATTTTTTTAAGAATTTGAAACCTTCTCGGGTGTCTCAACTGTCTTTTTTAAAAATGTAAAACCTTCTTGTGGGGCCCAAATGTCTTTTTTTTAATGTGAAACCTTCTCGGAGGTCCCAACTGTCTTTTTTAAAAATGTAAAACTTTCTCGGGAGCCTCAAATGTATTTTTTTTTAATTTGAAACCTTCTCGGGTGTCTCAATTGTTTTTTTTTAATGTAAAACTTTCTCGGGGGCCCAAATGTATTTTTTTAAGAAAGTGAAATCTTCTCGAGGGTCCTAACTGTCTTTTGTAAAAATGTAAAACCTTCTCGGGGCCCCAAATGTCTTTTTTTTTAATGTGAAACCTTCTCGTGTGTCCCAACTGTCTTTTTTAAAAATGTAAAACCTTTTCGGGGATCCCAAATTTCTTTTTTTTTAAGAATGTGAAACCTCGGCGGGCTCAACTGTCTTTTTTAACCTTTTTTCTATTACACTAGTATTGGACTAGTACCTTCTATATTGTTTTTACTTCATACAGGTTATCAGGAAAAAGTAAAATTCCGTAAAATGAAATTTTATAATTTTTCAGATAAGCAGTATTTGTTGGACTGTACTTCAGAAGCGAGGGAAGTTCTTTCCTAACTTTCGACCAATTTTTTTTCTAGTAGCGCTAATATTCATCATTTACATTTTGTGATATTTTCGAAAAAGTTGGATAAATTGTGCTGTACTTCAGGGGTGAGGGAAGTTCTGTCGAAATAACTTTGGAGCGATTTTTGTTGATGTACTAGGTGACTATGTGTTTAGGTGATATTTCCTTAGAACGAATCAAAATTGAGGCCTTCATTGCCGTTAACGGTTTCAAAATTCTGTATAGTCATTTTATAAGCTGGAATAGGTTGTTTTAAATCAGAAACTTGAGTAGAAAAATCCTGTTTTGTTTTAACTGGGGTCGCAAGAAAACAAAACATGAAAAAGAAAAAATATTTACGCGAGAAAGAAAAATTAACCATATATACCGGATGTTTCATCTTAACTGATCACAGAATTTGGCAAAGAATATGTACAAAATAAAATCCAATTTGAAGTTTCGCCAGTGTAATTGTAAATCCGTTTTCGTCGGAAATGAAGTCAAGATTGCGTTAATTAATACTAAATTTTCTACTGTTGTACTAAAAAATTAAAACAATTTTTATCTACAGACGAGCGTTGTTGAAGATTCTCAATGAAGAAAACTTTGCGTCCTCTGAAAGTGTCCTCTTTATTGATGCTTTGATAGAACGAGAATGTGGAGGAAATATTTTACAAGAGTAAGTTTTCATTATTCTTCAAAACGAAACCTTCAATTTTTATTGCAGCCAATGGCGCAACGATAATGGAAACGGTTTATATCCACCGTCTTCATTACAGGCACTATTGAGGACCTACTTGATCGATAATGTTGATTTATCGTACAAACACTCAGTTATTATTTATGTATTTCTGGACCTGGCAATGACTTTAGACCAGGAGAGGTACAAACCTGTAATAACCCATTTGATTAAATTTCCAGCTGTTTTTAAAGTAAGCCCGAGTGTTATAAAAATTACCCAAGCGTTTTGGCAGTTGGATCATAGTGATTTTAACGTAAACTTGTCAAAAAATTATTATAATTTAATTAATTTTGATGCATTTTAGACTGCTATGGGACTTTTATTAGACCCTCTTGTACTGTCAGATGACTTAAGTCAGTGGCACCATAAGGTGGTTTTACGAGCTTTGATGCTGCAAAAACAACACAACTTTGCCTTGTTGTACGTCCAGGTTAGAAAACCTGTTCTGAAAGATGACGATGATATTTTAACTGCTATAAGTTTATATGTGGCGAATAACATGCTAGACGAAGCGTTCTATTTTGAGAAACACTGCATTAATCAAAAACAGGAAGAGAAATTTCTTTGTCATCTTTTCAATGGTAAATTTTGCTTTTTTTGTGTTTTATAGTAACCCTCTGTTTTGTAGAATGCAAGAAAAATGATAAACTAAGATCACTGATTTATCGATCGCTGAATCCAGCAGACGAGAATTTCTTTCTCACTTATCTTACAAAAAGCAAACAGTGTTCGGCTGAGGATCTTCACGTGTACTATCACATTTTGAGGTCCCACTTTATCGAAGCTTTCGAAAGTCACGAAAAATCAGTTCCGCACCAAATCGAAAACCAGGGTTTATTGGGTCAGGAAAACGCGATACCTAGGGATAAGTTGGTCCACAGCTTGAAGAAATTATTGCCGGATGTTAATCGCAATCTTTTAAGTCTTTGTCATAAGGAGAAAAATAACACATGGCTGCAAGGTTGTTTGATTTTTGTTTTTAACAAAATATTATATTTTTTATTATAGTTTCAAGACCAACCCCGATGTCTGTTTTTGTTCATAATGTTACCGAAAATGTGCAGTATAAGTCAACTCTAGTCGGGGCAGCGTTAGCGAAAGCTAGACAAACTTTTGCGGAAACTGTGACTAAAAAGTTTAGAGTCAAGACTGAAGAGACCCCATTTTTGCGCACTCCAACTGTGACACCAACCGCAACGAGGTTTGTTGCGTTTTGTTGACTTTTCCGTCGTGATTCTAACTCTGTTCACAGATCTTCAGCTGTCATTGTAAATCCTAGAGTTGTTGATATGGAGGCTGTAATAGTTGATTCTAGTTCTCCTCCGTCAGTCAAACGAATGAGACTATCACCTAGAGTTAATAGTTCACTGACCATTGCGATTCCGACAAAGTTAGATACCCCTGTAGTTAAACGAAAGACACCAAGGGGTCGCGATGGTGTTGAAGAACGGAAAGTGGTAACACCGCACAGTATTTTGAAGGTAGTTGACTGTTTATTTAAGCGGTTAGGTTTGTTCTACAACCATTATTTCAGGTGAAGAGTTTATTGAATCATACGGCGTCTAAAACAGATGGTGAATTTGAAGATAATTTCAAAGAATTTGAAAAAATTGATTACACCCCTGTTCGATTGTCACCAAAGGTTTGTCTATTAATTGTTCGTTTTTTTTTTAACTTTGCACCCTTCGTGTAGAATTTAGATTCATTTTTCAAACAATTTTTTTTTGTAGAAATCGGGTTTTGGTCTTTCCCCTCGCAGATCTTTGCCGGTTGTTAGATTCGAGGGTTTGAGAAGTTCTTCCTCATTAGAAAATACAGTAGAATCAGTTAAAATTACCCCAGAAAAGATTTCCATGTCTCCCGTTGTAAATCTAGAGAATTCTTCCATTCAGTTAAACTCATCGTCCAAAAACACATCCACAGAGGACGAAGTTTTCTATTCCCCAAATGCTTCGTTTGAAGAAAATGTTGATAAAGAGAAGACACCTCCCAAAATTAGTAAAATTAATGAAGAAATAGCAGTTGATGAAGATAAAGCAGTGTCTTTGGAAGTCAGCGTTAATAATGACACACAAGAAACAAAAGAAATATCTGAAGAAATATTAAAACCGGGTCTTGTATTTTCACCCACGAAAAGGAGAAGTTACAAACGTAAGTTATAGATTATCTTAGGGTTAGTTATAAAGTTTTAACGTTTTAGGGTCACTAGGACAAACAACTCCTGTCAGATCGAGCCCTAGATTGTCAAAGACTCCTACATTGACAAATGATTCACTAGTGTCCTCTCCACGTCGCAGGTCTGTCCAAAATAAAGAGTCAGTTGCAGTTTCATTTGAAGATTCTGTAAAAGATAATACGTTTTCGCCTGAAAAAACTGAAGAAAAAGACGAATCAGTGACCGAGTCTCCAAATTCTGTTTCTATTTTACCTAAATTGCGCCCACGGAAATCTCTGTGCAGACAGGTTTTAGAAACGAATGCTCTTAATAGAGTTTTCAATTCCCCACTGGATTCTCCTAGAAGAAGATCTAGAACTATGGAAAGTTCTAAAGTTACGAATAGTGAAGAAGTGACCGAAAAGGTTGTTTTAGAATCGAAAATCACGTATAAAGATGGAGAAGAAATTCACCATGCAAGTTTTTCAAAGAAACATAATTTGACTACAAGTTTCCTAGAATCAGATGTAGATAGTTCAGAAGATGTTAGTATCGATTATGGCAGTGGCGAAGAGTTGACTTTGTCAGATTCTATGCAGAAATATATAAATAGCTCGTATAAAGTATCATCTAGACGTAATAGTTTGCATCAAATATCAGAAATAAAAGAAACAAGTTTACCAGATTCACCTAGTAAAGACTTTATTGCGGAAACTAGCGTACAAAACGCAGAATCTTCCGTAGGAGACATTATGACGCACAGTGATGATAATGACAAACCTAATGAAAGTTTGGTGGAGAAAGCCACAGAAGAAATTGAAGAACATCACTACACAATAGTTGAAGATGCAAGTGTAACACAAGAGAAGAAATTTGTTGAAGTTAGCATTTCTGAGCCAGATAGTACAAGCAAGTTAGAAGAAGAAGATATAAATGACCACCAGTCTAAAGATATAATGGAAGATGAAATTCTTCCTAACAAAAGCGTGACATTTGATGGTAATTCTACTGCTAATAACAGTAAAAGTATTGTATATTCCGTTCTTGAAAGTACTGTGGACGCGTTTTCGATGTCTTACGACGAAAGCGGCCCGAAGTTGTCCGATTCTATGATACGGTGTATAAATGATGATGAAGAAAAAGAGCAAGACCCCGAGAAGACACAAAATGACGAAATTGAGGTTATGGATGTCGATGAAGAGGTAGAAGTGGTTAAGGAAGACGACAATAATGTGCCTAAAGATGCAAGTAATGAAATAGTGTACACCACGTTACAAAACAGTGAACTGATTGAAGTAGAGAAAGGAGAAAACACAAATGAGGTAGTGGCTGAGGAGTCTTCAATTGGAAAAGATAAGTCGGCGAAAGACACAGAAACGTTCGACGGTGAATCTGACACCAATAGACCGATAGACCCAGAAATGAACGTCTTCGAAATTTCCGACGATCTTAGTTTTAATGATGGTTTAATAGTTGAAAAAGAATTGACTCTTGAAGAGAACGATCTGTGTTACGGACAACAAAATACACTTGAAAATGTTTTGGAAGAAAATATGAGAGCTGTAAGCTCGACTCCACTAAATGGTAAGTAGCAAACTTGGGTGAATTCTTTGTGATAAAGTGATTTTAGCACTCGAAAACAACGTTTTTAATGAAAGTTACGATTCAGATGAGGAATCGGTTGCAGAAGAGGAATCGGTTGCAGAAGAGGAGGAAGATCAAGAAGAGCCACGGATAGATGAAGACAACGATTCTATAAACAAGGAAATAAATGATGATGATAAGCAAGCAGAAAACGAAGTTATTGAAATTGGTAGTTCCAGCGAAGAAGATAAAAGTGATAAAAGCAGTGAGACGTCTGGTTCATCAGAAAGTCAGAATTCGTTCAATGAAGAGGGAAGCGAAGAAGAGAAGCTTGATGTGTCTTATGAAAGAAATATTTATGATTCTGAAGAGTATTCGAGTTCTGAATCGAACGACGGACGCCATTATAGTGAAATAAGTGAAAATAGTGACGATTATCCAGTGGAAGAGGGTTGCGGATTGTTCGAAGGTGACATTGTTTGTGTTGATGATGAAGAAGATGAAAGAAATAAGAAAAGCGAAAATAAAGTACCGGAACAAATACAGGAAGAAAGAACAGAGAGCGAAAATAGAATCGAGGGAGATTCAGATGAACACATACACAAAGAAAGTGATGTTGAGAAAGACGATAAATTGTCAGACGAAGTTATGGAAGAACAACTAGAAGTTACAGCTGAAGATACTAACAGAAAAATTAGTGACTGTGAAGATAAAACATCGCACACTGTTTCCACAAGTGATGATAAGATTATAACACAATCAAACGACGAAGTAATACAAGAAGAAAATCCTACTCCAATGGATAAAGAATCATTTAAAGAAACCCCACAGGAACAAGAAGACACCGAAGTTCAGGAATCTGATACAAAAGATGTTGACACAGAAGATAAAATTATTTCGCACGACGCCTCTGCTAGAGATGGTTTTGTAACTAAATGCCCTGAGAAAGAAATACGTAACGTTGATGAAGAGAAAGATACAGAGAAAATGGAAAGTGCAATAAAGAATGCAGAAACTCCATTAGGAGAAACAGATATTTCTGTTGAAATGGATGATCTAAGTTATTCTGTTTCTGAGGACAAAATTATTAGTGAGAAAGATGATATGCAGCAGGGACCTTCAGACAAAGAAGAAATAAAAGATGTTGGAGACAGTTGTACAACAGATATAAAAGTAGCGGAAGAAAAGGAGAAACACGTACCAGAAGTCGATCAGAATAAAACACCTGAAAAAGACAACTGTGAGCTGAAAATGGATGTTCAGGATACAGAAGTGTCTGAAACGACAATCCACGAAGAGACAAATGTAGATGCCACCGCTTCTGGTCCAACAGAAATTAAATCTAATTCAGAGAGAGACATTTTAGATATAACTACGTCCGAGAAGGACAAAAGTATGTACAGTTATGATGTTTATTAAATTTGAATTAAATTTTGTTGTTTTTAGGACCAAGAGCGCGTTCGGTTTCGGTCTCAAGTTCGACGTCTGCCAAATCTCAAAGGGGTCGTCGCCAAAAAAGCGAAAGCGTCAGCGAAGAAATTCCAAAGCAGCGAATGTTAACGCGAAGAACTAGAGATGTTTTGGAAACTTTAACTAGGAAGACACCCAAACGTGAACCTGACATAATTGAACAGTTATTAAAAACGCCGGAAAGAACTCTCCGTTCGCGGCGGGTTAGTACGGAAGAACCCTCAACTCCAACTAGGACACTTCGAAAACGTAGTGCTTCTGTGGAAGACGCACTAATTAACACCCCTGAGCCGTCGAAGGAAAAAGACTCCGCAGACAAGCGGAGGGGTCGTCGGGCATCGTCCGTTTTAAATTTACCGAAGATTCCGGAAGAAGACGACAGCACCAAGAAGTCGAAAAGTGTTGTAGAAGGGTATTCGATGAACCGACGAATGACCAGGCAACAGTTGACAATGTTAAAAAAAATGGAAGGTATTGACTACAGTTTGGACTCTTTGGACCCCATTGTTCTGTTGGATAAAGTGCCATTCGAAGGCAAACCAGACCCGGAAGAACAGAAAGTGTATGACCATTCGCCGTCAACCACGAACAGCGCGTCAAGTTCTCCTGTGAAACCTGCAAGGAGGTTGAGGTCGGCTTCACAGGCTTCTGAAACGTCGGACAGGTCCAAGAGTAAGACGCCTGTTCGTAGTGTCGGAAGGGCGAGGAAGAAGTCTGTTGATGAAGAAAGTACGTCGAAAAGGAACCTCAAGGTAGTGTTTTTTTTTTATAAAGTTTCGTGTGGTTTAATTTTATTTTCTCGACGTGTTATAATTTCGTCTGTTGGCGGTTTTATTGGATAAATAGTCGCTGAAACCACCTCAAAATTTTGCAAAGTAAATCATTTTTCAATTTTTTAAAATACCACGCTTTTATACTTGTGGTTTATTATTCCATCCATATTTTTATTTTCGGAGCATAAGCTAGTTGGAATTATCGTCAAGGTGCCCCGTTTCGGACTGTCTGTCTGTTGGTGATTTTATTAGATAGATAATCTCCGAAACTACTGGACTGATTGTGTAGGAATCTCGTGTATATGGTGTAATAACCTAAACATCTCGCCAAAATTATAAAACCCGGGAAAATAAAAAAAAAAATTGGCTTTAAGCTGTGATCGTCAACAAAATGGAATGTTTTTTAATGCCCTTAAATCAAAATACAAAAATGTTTGTTCCTTCTTTCTCGAGAGGGAAAAACTGAAAAACTGTGAAATAAGCTTGAAGGGACTTCTTTCCTAGCTGCAAAAACTTCTCCAGCTTTCAAAAATAGAAGCAAATATTTGAATATTACAAATTCGCACACAAAAAAGGTAACTGAATGGTAGTACACAAGTTATTGCAATGGTGTGGCGGCAAATTTAAGTAGCAATTGAGTAAGAAAACACTAAGTTGAGTGAAAACAAACTACGTAGCATCCATATCAGCCAAGGACGGCCTGATTTATATCGGCGAAAATTCGGTATTGCAGATAAACATTCACATGAACAATAACAAAGATAGAAAAATGCTCAATTTTGGTATGTTAGTCCGCCTCCGCTATGCGATCTAATGCGTTGACCTTGATTAAAGTTCAAATTTCCAGAATTTTATATCTATAAATCATAATGAGTTTACATCGTGGACCGAATTCACATATCACAGGCACACATTCAGTACGGTCAAAATCAAAATCATATTTCGATAATAAATGTTCAAATTCAAGCCGTAAGAAGATAATTATGATATTAAAAAAATTACACATTTGTATACGACAATGAAACGTGAAATATACCTCCTATTTCAAGTCCACGATGATATTAATTCATCTGATGTTATTTTTCAAAGTTCTGTCTCTAAAATAACTTAATGTTTAAGATTAGTGGAACTGCCATAAATGAACTATTTTAAACGTCGAGCGAGAAGCTTATGAAGGATGAATAATATAATAACTTAAATAAAATAAGCTGAGCCTGAATAAAACATTAAATAAACCGTACATTTTTTTTTAATTTGATAGAGTGTGTCAAAACCCAGTGATCTAGTTTTCTATGGCCTCGACTGTACAGTCTGTTGATATAAATCCCGTTGTGCCAGAATCAATACAAAAGCAATAGCATGGATACAAATTTAAATTGTCATGTATACCGGATTTATGTGCATGGCTGTACATTACGGTGAAAAACCTAAATGTGAATTCTGAATATTTACAAACAATGAAATAAAAATTGTGTTGGCATCGTCAAGAAACTTCACATTTTAGATTAGAAAACCAGTAATGAACTAATTTTACACTAATTATACTCGTTGATGTGGACTGTGGCGTCGAAGACGATTTCATTTTTTTAACAATTACTCTGGTGAGTTTTACACTGCACCACAAAACAACAAGTGGAACCAAAAGACTCATTTAAAGTCTGCCTGTGCAACATTACAAACCCTTAAACTACCTACATAAAGGGCAACCTTCTACTATTCCCTTGATTGCCTACGTTTTGGAATGATTTTCTTGTTTTTCAAATGCGACTTCGAGACGTTGTTTTTTCGGTGTGAGATTTAATTTTTAAATTGGGACACAACAATGGAAGCACCAATCAAAATTTGTCTGTGTTCCTGTCCTGGACTTCTAGATTTTGGAGTCGGATGATATTCGAGATGCGCACATAAATTGTGTTCTTGGCTTTATTATGTCACAGGACTCTTTGGACCCCCTCAAAAAAAAAAACAAAGTTACCTGTGGGTTATAAATCCGTCTTAATTTTTACCTTGGATATTCAGATTTTGGAAAAAAAACAGCCCATAAGGGGCTAAAATTTTTTGAAATGAGGTCATTTAATTAAGTATTCCTAACAACATTTAAAATTTGACCGCAATTGGTCCAGTAGTTTCGGAGATTATATTCTAATAAAAATCGACACAGACGACAACAGAAACGGGAGACCTATTTTTTCATACTTTCGGGGTCATGATATGTGGAGAAAACATGAAAGTAAGCTATTCGCTCAGGAAATAAAAATAAAAACTATAACATTTTACATTAGATTTACATTTAAGTAACTTAGAAACTGTAAAAACCGAATGCTCTGAAATGTTGAAAACGTTTTAGATTGTCGTAGTCGTGGTAAATTTTTAATTAACATTTATCCACTCATTCCCACAATAACCTGATCATCCAAAAATTTTGCTGGGTAAATCTATCTAAAGTCAGTACGTGTGATTTATCAACACATTTCTATTTTAAAAAATTGCTTATACATGTGTCAAAAAATCAATTAATTTTTTTGATTAAATCAAAAACGACTTATTTATTTTTTTAGTTCTAGGTGTAGAATACTTCTGATATTACTAGTATGTACAATTTTCCAATTGAAATTGATATATTTGTCCCCACTAAAAAATTGACGACGTCATTACAACATTTTGTTAAGAAAAATTGACCAATAACATAGTAGAGTTTTGTCTATCCACAGTTTAATAATCTACACATTATTTTTATTTTAACTGGTAGTTAAGGCTTTGTTTGGGTACATCAGATGGTATGCCTCGAAAGCAGCATAGCACCTAGCACCTAGCGGATAGGGGCTATCATAAAAAATAAAATAAGTAACTAAAGTAACTTTAGACCAGTTTTTTAAAGTGGTGTGGTTGTTTCAGGATATTATTGAAAACGCAGAAGAGAACCTAGATTCGTCAGAACCAAGAATGACCAGAAGTAGAGCGAAGTCGGTGTCCTCAGTAAATTCAGATGATTCAAGTAAGTGTCTCTTGTTCAAAAATTTAGAAGTAATTGTGCGGTTTCAGGTATTTCCGAGAACGTGAAGACCAGCAGAAACAAGAGACAAAAAAGGCTTTCCCAAAGTACGTTACCAAAAATTCAAGAAGAATCAACTAAAACAGAAAAATCACCAGTACCGAAAAAGCGAACGCGAAAGAACAGTTCGCAAATATAAATTTTCTTTTAATTATTTTTATACACGTTTTTTTAGCTCTTGTGTAATAAATGTTTATTTTCTTTTGTATTCTCTTTGTGTAAATATTATTCGATTCTTTGTAAATATTTTCTGTGGTTTTCATTTACTCCCGCCCCAATTATTTATTTGTAGTTTCTTTGCTTATTCTTCGCTATTGTGTAGCTCAATACGACCGAATTTCGGTGTATTCCAGTATCGACCAGTAGCGGTCTTGACTGTAGTGGAAGATGAATTCGAAATTCTCGTCTACCAATGCTTGTTTCTCTTTTATGCTTCGGTTTGCGCAATGCTTTGGAATGTTGCCTGTATGTGGAATCACAAGTAAAGATTCTTCTTTGAAATTCAAATGGACTGCGAAGCGAACTTTGTATTCCATCTTGTTCCTTGTTTTGTCTGCTTTAAACACGATTTTCCAAATGGTGAAAATGATCGACGTGGGTCAAATCGAGTTCGGGGAGTCTGGTAATTATCACTCACCCACAACAATCAGTTTTTTGTAACGACGGACTAAAGGTAACTGTTTCAGTCACTTTATTGTTCTTCGCAGTTACTGCAATAACTGTCGCTATTTTCATCGAAGTCGCGACGAAGTGGCCTCATTTGATGCAGAAATGGACCGAAGTTGACAAAGCTTTGTCACAGTCCTACGGCTTTCCTTCGGGGCTGCATCACGAGTTAAAACTTATTGCTTTCGTTATTGTGGCTGCAGCTATTGGTTGTATAAGCGTTGTTTGAAATTAATTTTAACTGTCGTAATTTTAGCGGAACATTCTCTATTTTTGGCTTTCACGTTTAAGTACAGCAAAAGCGGAGAAACTTTATCGGAAACCATACAACTCTATTTTGAACACCGCTTTGATCAAGTGTTTAACATTTTCCCCTTTTGCATGCCACTCGGAATAATTACACAGGTTTCTTGTTTTAATTAAAAGCAATATTTTAAGAAAATTAATTCGTTTCTTTCATTAGATTGTGAATACTTTTAGCACCGTGTCCTGGAATTTTATGGATCTTTTTATTATGTTAGTGAGTTTGGCTTTATCGGCTAGATTTAAGCAAGTAGTAGTGCATATAAGCCAATTGACAAAAAACAACGTAATTTTATTAAGCCGTGTGAAATACTTGAAGCTAATTGCGTTTTATTACAGGAAAATGATGAGGAGGTTTGGCGTCAGGTTAGAGAAGATTACACAAGACTTGCAGTTTTGTGTGCGAAAGTTGATGATACCATATCGAATATCATGTTGCTGTCATTCAGCAACAATATTTTTGTGGTAATTGTACAACTGTATTTTAGTTTACAGTGAGTAAATTCTTCTCGAGGAGGATTTATTTTATATAGATTTTTTCAGGCGACCGCCAATCAGTGGCGCTTTGGATAAAATATATTATGTTTATTCGTTTTTATTTCTTATACTTCGAACGATTGCGGTAGCTTTATATGCTGCAACTATTCACACAGAAAGCAAAAAGCCACAGCATTATTTAAATACTCTAAGTTCCGACATTTACAGCGTTGAAGTAAGTTGGAAATAATACTAATTACATTAGTTTTTCTTTAGCTGAGAGTCGTTTATAAATTTTAGATCGAAAGATTTTTGTACCAAGTGAAATACAACACTATTGCATTAACAGGTCATAAATTGTTTAAAGTAAACAGATCGTTGATTCTGAGAGTAAGAAAGTGGTATTTTATTTGAGTTAGTGCTATGGATATGTTTCAGGTCGCTGGTGCTATTGTTTCGTATGAATTAGTGTTAATTCAGTTTAATGTTGCTTAGAAGGAGATAAATGTTGTAATGGAATAATAAATTCCTAAGAATGAGATGGTGTTTTCATAGACCAGACATTTATAATAATACACATATATTGCACAATATCTCTTATGAAGTCGTGAGAGTACTTATTAATATTACTTTTTCCCATATAGCAGAACAGAATGTTGTAAGGCAAGTAAGTTTGCAAATTAGCTTTTTGGGAATAAAATTATTACCTTAGTAAATAAATGGTGGATGCGCCGGGAAAACGACCTTTTTTAATTAATAATTGTAAAATTAATATCTATTTATTTTCCACTTAAATGTTGTATCAATTTTTTATATTATTTTAAACAATAGCGCTTCGTTTTCTAATAATATATATTTGTAAAATATTTTTAGTAAAATGTAATAGAGAATCATTATAACGAATTGTTTGTCTAATTTTATGTTCTTGCATTTTCATAACTCGCAGGATACGAAAATATAAGTTTCGTATTTCCATCCGTCTGTCCGTTTTATATTGTTAACAGATAATTCTCAAAATTACTTTAAAATCTAAAAATTTTAAATGTCACTTAAGGTAGCGAAGTGAAGATTTTAAAACTCTGTTAAGTTATGTCTGCTCATCTTTTCCAAAAAATGATGGTCTTCCTAAAACTGTATTAAATACATCTTATTCGAAAAGTGCCGAATGAATCCTTCCATATCTGTGGTACAATATTATACTATTGTTTAGCTTTACACTAAAATTTAGTGTTTAAAGTTATTTAGACAAAATTTTCCTCGCCCCTGGAATACGACAAATAAAACAGCCTCAGTTTCTTAGATAAATTGTAATGTTATGAATTTAACAGTCATTAAATTGCTTATATAAACCATGTGTTAAGAAATTCACTTATTTAAGCTTCATTCTTTATTTATCAAATTACAACCAGAGTTTCTGGATATTTTTACTTAAGCATTACATTATAACACATTTCTTAATTTCCCATTTGAAATTAATAATATAAGTATAATTCACTTACGGCATTTAAATTCATCTAAATTTTGGTCCATTTTGAGAAAAATTGACTGAAAAGTTGCGGTTAAATTCATATTCTCGTGAACTCGAAAAACAGAAGGGTTTTAACATCTTACATGTTTAATATGTGGTTTCAACTTTAATTATTCTCTTGCAGGTTTAATAATATTTTGCGGCTTGATTTGAACATTTATTATTGAATATGTGCTTTTTTTGTATGTGATGTGGAGGTTTCGATCAACGAGGTGCTTTTGAATGCAATTTTATGCAATAAATAACTTGAAATAACACATGATTTAACATAGTGTAAAGTCTTTATTGTTTAAAATTGTTGATAGAGTGTGGCACAATTTATTCTCATGTAAATTCTTTGTTATTTAAAATTGTTGGTAAAGTGTCACGTAATTTAACATCATGTAAATTCTTTGTTGCTGAAATTCTTGAGTGTGGCGTAATTAATTTAAGTAATTTTGATATTCATTCAGTCTTCGTTATCAATTCGAGGCAGATAGAATTTGAACTTAATCGAAAAAAGGTACACAAGTTCGCGTGGTATTTTTCCCTTAAAAGGAAACTTTCTTGTTTAAAAAAAAGAATACGTTCCTCAGCACGTTCTAGAAATTTGTCAGAATAATTTCAGTAATTTTTTGAGACCAAAAATTTCCAGCTGTCAAAAAAACTGACGCGAGGTATAGAATTTTACAAATACAAATTTTATTCAAATTATTTGTTGCATGCTTGCCTAGTAAACAATTATTTTCATATATATTTCCGGTGTGTAAACATTATTCAAGTTTCTGTAAATATTTTCTTTGGTTTTCGTTTATACCCACCCCTTTATATATTTAACGCTTGTTTACTTATGCTTTGAGATTAGGTGAATAAATAAATTCGATAACACTGCATTTGATTTTATTTATCACTGTTTCAGTAACGATTTCCAATTTAATGGAAGATGGATTCTAAAATTCCGTCGACACATGCTTGTTTCTGTTTTATGTTACAGTTCGCACAATGCTTTGGAATGTTGCCAGTTTGTGGCATAACAAGTAAAGATGCTTCTCTGTCATTCAAATGGACTGCGAAGCGTACTTTGTATTCTATGTTGTTTCTTGTTTTGTCATCTTCACATACAGTTTTCCAAATGCTGAAAATGCTCAGAAGACAACAAATGGAGTTTGCACAATTTGGTAATTGCAAGCGTGAAAAATTTCTGTTATTTACACAGTCTATTTTAAAAATGAGTTTTTACAGTGATTCTATTGTTTTTCGCCGTTACTGCTATAACTGTGGCTATTTTTATCGATGTTGCAATAAAATGGCCCAATTTGATGAAGAAGTGGACCGAAGTGGATAAGGCTCTATCAGCATCTTATGGCTTTCCCTCTGATTTACATCGGCGGTTAAAAATGATAGCCTTCATTATTTTGGTTGCTGCTATTGGTTGTACTTACACTTTGCTTGCAGTTTATTACAACTGAAATCTTTTTAGCGGAACACTCTTTATACTGGGCTTTCAGATTCAAATATATCGAACGTGGAGAAACTTTCTCTGAAACTGTTCAACTCTATTTTGAACAACAGTTTGATCAAGTGTTTAGTATTGTTCCATACTGCGTAGTTGTTGGAGTTGTTGCACAGGTTTTATTTAGTAGCAATATTTAAAGAAATTTATTTCCTCTCTTATTAGATTGTGAATACTTTCAGCACCTTGTCGTGGAATTTCATGGATCTTTTTATTATTATAGTTAGTTTAGCGTTATCGGCTAGGTTTAAACAAGTAGTGGTGCGTATTAGAGCGCTTACAAAGGAAAAGGTAAAGCGAAGACATTCGAAGTACGTCGAAGCGAATTTACTTTTATTGAAGGAGGAGAATGTAGATGTTTGGTGTCGTGTCAGAGAAGATTACACAAGACTTGCAATACTATGTGAGAACGTTGATGACACAATATCGACAATCATGTTGGTGTCATTCGGTAACAATATTTTTGTGGTACTTGTTCAGTTGTACTACAGCATAGAGTGAGCAAAATTGTCCTTAAATAAGACTAATTTTACAGTGGATTTTTTATAGGCGACCTCCTGTTAATGCTGCTTTAGACAAAATCTACTATGTTTATTCTTTTTCATTTCTTGTAATTCGAACAATTGCGGTAGCTTTGTATGCAGCAACTATTCACACAGAGAGTAAAAAGCCGCAATATTACTTAAATGCTATAAGTATGCATGTTTATAACGTTGAAGTAAGTTACAAACAAAACTTCCTTAGATCGGTTATGTAGTTTAATCCGTTCAATAACTGAGTAAGTTTTATATTTATATTTTTTTAGATCGAGAGATTCATATACCAAGTTAGGTACAGCATCATAACACTTACTGGTCATAAACTGTTTAAAGTAAACACTTCACTGATTTTGAGAGTAAGAAATTCATATGTATTTTTTGATAACGCAATGGATATTTTTTAGATTGCCGGCGCCATCGTTTCTTATGAATTGGTGTTAATTCAGTTCCATGTTGCTTAAAAGAAAGAAAATTTTTAAATAGACTAAGTTCTAAGTGTATATTACAAATTAGTTGATGATTTATCTACATTTAAAGTATCAGTAACATGAAGAACATGCTGGTAGTCAGAAAACATAATCAAGCGATAGGTGTTCAAAAATATGTTCAATTTACATATATACAATTAAGTAGTTTAAAATTTTAACTAAATAATTTTTTATATCTAAGAATGTAAGACTTTTGACATTACACAACTGAGAACAAACAAAGAAAATTAGGAGACAATCGAATTAAATGGTAAATGGTGGATGCGCCGGGAGAATCGTTCTCAATAATTTTTGGAACTTGAATTTTTTCTTATTCGTCCATATATGTATTTTTATTTAAATTTTGTAAATCCATATCATGTTCAATTATGATAATAAATGGAATGGATAAGAAAATGTGCGGTGTCTTTTTGAACTTTGAGATCGAAGAGTTTTTGAAGTTAGAAAGTTTGTTCGTGTGAGGGACAATCAGCTTTCAGTTGGTACTTTTAACGTTGTTTTTATCTGTATCAAATATTTTTTGACTGCATGTATATAACAAAGAGTTTTAATAAAACAATAAAAATGATATACGTAATGTAGAAACTCTTATGAAATAACTCCATGTTATAAAATTTGTAAAATTTTTTATCTACATAAATAATTTTTCAAAATTTGTGGAGATTAGTGCCCGAGCGTTAGTTATACTTAGATGGGACTATGGATACTAAACTTTAAATTGGAAGAAAATATTCGAAATTATCTATCATCAATCGCAATATTCGCAATAGTAAGCCTTGTTGGGTAACCAAGGTTATAGGTGTAAATAAGACGAGCCATTTTGAATTTTTCGATGTGTTTGTATTACCACCTTAAGTAAAAAAAAGGTTTTGGTTGTCATGGATAAAAAAAGCTGCGACCAAGATGTGCCGGTTGAAAACCCCTCTTAATGCTCAGCTACAAAAAAACTTTCCGAACTTTGAATTAAATCAAATTAAACGTTCTGAATCAATGCAAATATTTGATTATCACAAATTTAATAAAAACAAAGCAAAATCTGTTACGGTCGCAAACTCGTGGTTGGGTCTCGACTATTGGGCCAACGTCACGTCATCTTGATCGCCCCTGACTTCTATACAAAGCCTGCATCTTTTGTGCAGATGGCGCGATAAATCCCGCCAGCTCGACTAGGAACCGCGCCCTCCGCTTCTGCCACGTGTTTCGGTGTTATCTAATCTCAATTCCGTTTAAATGTCCAATTTCTATGATTTTGATATTAAACTACAACTGAACAAGTGTTAAAGTTGCAGAACGAACAATAAACAACATTTGAATTCGCCAGACACTCTCGTGAAATATTTCTCATTTGAGATTAAGATTGGACATCAGATAATTTATATGACGGAAACATTAATCAACAAAATATTTACATGAAACAAAAAACTAGCAAAGGTTCATAAAAACAAAAAAAAAAAAACAATCGGGTGTGAAGTAAAACTTGTGCAGATAAAAAAAATACGTGAGGTTAGAAACTGCAGAGCATGAATAATTACGTTCAATTTAAATTATAGAACAAGAAAATTGCTGAAATTAAAATTGTGAGATGAAGAAAAATTGCGAGTGAAGTTATTCAGCTGCATTGTGGGCTATCGTTTTACATTTCCCAAACAAACAAAAAATATAGCATACAATCTGAAGGTTCAAAATGCGTCGTTCCAAAAAATATGTATATTTCCCAGAAATGTGATTCATCCTGTGGCATTGTGCAAATAATGATTTATATACTCTAAATCAAAGGAATAAAATGCACGTCGCACAATATTGTTTATTTGTTCAATAAGATTTTTCAGTTCAAACATGTGCTCGGTTTGAAAATATTCTTTCAACATGGCCGCTGCCAGAACAAAAAATTTACGTGATGTTAACTTATGCCACACTTTATCAACGATTCAAACAAAGAATTTACATGTTGTTAAATGATGCCTTGATCCAAGTGTTTGATGACTTAAAACAATTAGCTTTGAGAGTTTATATCGTGAACTGTTTATCCCAAACAAAACACATAATAAATAAACACAAAATGCGTCCTGTGTTGCGAGGAAATATGCGTCTCGGTGATATAGCTTCCCACGTTGCGAGGAAAATATATCGATGATGTGATGATGATATGATGACAATAACGATAATAACTGCCTAAAGGGAAAAATTTATAATCTCCCCGTACCTCAGTTCACGATATTATGAATTCTACCGCACTTTCCACGGTCTTTTTCAGAGTGGGGCAACGTTAGGTTAATTTAACTGCCGTAAATGAACTATTAGCAACCTTGTGTGAGGAATTAAGAAGTAACATTTGAGTATAAGCATCCAGAAATTTATTCATAAAATTAGATAAGCAAAAGATGTGTCCTGACTAAGTAAATTTTATGAAATCTCCTAGCAAGTGTTTATCTAAACAAACTCCTGACTGTTAAATTGTGTTAGAACCAGTTAACGATCAAACTCCTGACACGAACTGTGAATTTATAAAAAATAAAACCAATTTACACACGTGTTAACGTCGATCGAAAATTCGCTTATTTCCTCTTGAAAAGCCCCAAGAATTAGCTACGCGGGTTGGGGAAACTGGGGAGTCGTCGTCGTTACGATTAATTGTCGTTAAACAAACTGACCAAACTTAACCTAGCTAACTCACCACGTGGTTTTCACCAACAAACCAAAAGTGACCCTCTCCTCACCCTCTACAAAGCAAGCACCCCTCTCTTGGTACTAACCCTCTAACTAAAATTCCAAGCAGAACTACCAACTACCAGAAAAACAACTAAACGTGCACATGATTGCCTGTGTTTAACGATTTTCTTGATTGAATTTTTTTTAAATTCAAATTATTCAAATGTGATTTTGCGCCGCTGTTAATTTTTTCAAATTCAAATTCGATCACCACAGTGTTACTACTAAATTTCCCGACAAAATACCGCGTGATCAGAAATGACTGAGTCTGTTGGCAATCTTGGATTTTTAATTGAAATTGGTATCATGATGTTTTCTACAATTTCCGGTTGTCAGCTGTTAAAATTGACAGATTGTTGACATTTGTAATTTGCAAAATGTATCGAAAACATGACCTAAAATTATCGCATGTCATGATTGACGTATCTGTCACATAGTTACTTTCGTTATGCCAACATAAACGCAGGAAAAATTCACAATTTTGTTTAAAAAGTACTGCCAACAGACCCAGTCATTTCTGATTACGGGGTAGCTTCGACAAAATAGCTTCAGGATAAAATAGCCAAAGATTCAAAAATCTGCACAAGTCAGCAAAAATATCACATACAAAAGATATGTAGATGCACTATTCTTTATTCGCATTTAGCATATTGCATATGCTACTGAATATTTGGTGTTAATTGTGTGGAAATTCATATTTTACAATAAAATATAAATAAAAACCAAAAAGTACATTCTTAACACAATTGTATTTTGTGAAACAATTAAGGTGATAATAATTTCTTCTATAGATTCTAAAAGAACTGCAGTATAGGTGTTGGACTCGACAGAGTTCGGGGACGCCTTAGAATCGAAAGGCGGGAAAAGCTGGGGCACCGACTCCTAAGTATTTTGCAATGTGCAATAGTGAAAATGTCTTTGAGAATTGATTAACAGATTAACATAATAGGTTTATTAGCGAGATATCAAGTTGTATTAAAAATAATGTAAAGTAAAGTGTAAATTATAGTAATATTTCTACCATCTTTAAATACCTTCTAAATAAATTTAACACAGCTGGATACATATCTTGAAAATTCACACTTCGTACAAGAAATTATCGCCTTTTTTTTCTAAACTCAGTAATAACAGAGTGCTTAAACCAAATATTGTTTGCCAAACAAAGTGATATAAAAGAATAGTACTTATGTTTTTAGCTCATTTATGTGGCCATAGAACAAAAATATTCTATTACAACAGTTAATTAAAAATAATGTGTTTATTTACTGAGATAAATATTTGTGCAGGTATCATTTATCAACGTTTATTTACATAAAGGCTTTATCGGGGAGCGATAAATATTGTTAAAAAATGTTCGTTAACTATAATCAGTCATGCAAAAGTGTGAGTTGCCCGCATGAATCAAGTTTTTTTTTCATATTTACAGATACAACATTAAAGTAAGCATGTACATGTATTTAGTAAAATTAATTATTAAAAAATCTTGTCGATAGGTTTACTTTTAACGAAGTCCTAATACAGGTACAAAATTAGGATTTAATGGATAAATAAATGATTTGTTTATCAAAGAACAAAATTATATTTTTACACGTAAGTTCTATACCAACATCAAGAGTACTGAAAAGTTTGATAGCATTTTTGCTAATTACACTGATTGACTCAGTTTGCTTACTTAAGATTCTTTTTAATATCTAATAGAAGCAAATAGCTGTTAATTTTTGTATTTATATAACTACGTTGGCATCTTTTCGAACAAATGGTGAAACGTGTCGACAGCTTTGTTAAACTTTTCAGCCTAGCGAAAGAACAAAAAATTAGTACCAAACCTTTCGTCACAAAGAATTGCGGTATTGTTTAATTAGAAACATGTTTCGAACTTCGTTGGGCTCATCTTCACACTTTTTTATTGGATAGTGAAAATAAGCTCAACGGAAGTCCAACATTTCACACTATGTTATTATAATTTTGTAGATGTAGATAAGATGAACCAAAAACTTACAACCCATTCAAGTCTCAGTTTCTTACTAATCTTCGCCCAGTGTTTCGGTATGCTACCCGTAAGTGGAATAACCAACGAAGACAGCTCTTCTTTGAAATTTTACTGGACGTCAAAGCGAAGCGTGTACTCAATGACGTTCGCTGCAGCGTCAACGTTAAACGTAATTTTTTTTATAATAAAAATGACTAATACCAAAAGTGCACAGTTTTCAGATTATGGTAAGAATTGTGATTAATTCCAATACCGAATGATTCATGATTTGTTTCATTTTCAGTTACTTTGTTATTTTTCATGGTTACTTTAATCACGATAATGATATTTATAGACATTGCGAGAAAATGGCCATCACTTATAAAAAAGTGGACTGTGGTCGATATAGCAATGAGCAGTTATGACTTTCCAGTTAATTTACACACTAAAATGAAGATCATAGCGGGTCTAATAATGGGGGCAGCGGTTGGTAAGCTTCAGAACATAAAAAAAATACTTACTTAAAAGTAATGAAACAATTTTTAGTAGAACACTCCCTATTTGTTTCCACGGTGTTCATATCTTGTGGAGTCGGTTATAATATTGGCGAAACCGTAGATCGTTTTTTAAAATATCGTTTTGGTTTTGTTTTTGAGGTCACAGGTTATGATATTGTGTGGGGACTATTTTTACAAGTAAGTTATTTATAATTCTATTAATAATCCGCTAATATTTAATATAAAGATGCTGAACATTTTTAGTACAATATCTTGGAATTTTATGGATCTTTTTATCATCCTGATAAGTTTATGCTTATCAGAAAGATTCAAACAGGTGACAAAGCGTATACGTTTTTTGGCTTCAAAAAATGTAAGAGAGTAAATTTTTAATCTTATAACTCTAAGTCAACTAATTGAAGGTAATCGATTTGAGTGTGTGGGAAAAAGTTAGAGAAGATTATACGCGTCTTACAGTTTTATGCGAATCTGTAGACAACCTTATGTCCAATGTAATTTTGGTATCTTTTGGTAACAACATATTTGTGATTCTCGTCCAACTATTTAATACCTTGACGTAATAATTTATATAAAAAAATGCCGCTGCTTACATAACGTATTTGTAGTAGTCCTCCACATCATGGAATCCTAGATAAAACTTATTACGTATATTCATTTGGATTTTTAATTATCCGTCTCATTGCTGTTGCAATGTGTGCGGCGACAGTCAATTCAGAAAGCAAAAAACCGAAGCATTATTTAAACACCTTATCTACACTGATCTACAATGTAGAAGTATTTTCAGTTTATTTAACTTGAGAATAATTTTGTAATACTTAAATAAAATTTTCAGGTTGACAGACTTTTGCATTATGTAAAATATAACACGGCCGCGCTTACAGGACATAAAATTTTTCGAGTAACCAGAACACTTATACTAAGGGTAAAAAGTATGTCTTTAAAGGATTATTTCACTCTTTACGTTTTACAGATATCGCTGGCTATTGTATCATATGAATTAGTACTGGTGCAAATGCTAAATCATGGTTAAAGTAAATGTTAGATGCTGTATCTTTGAATTTACAAGCATAAATAAAATCTATGGAATCAATAATGCAGCATTTTTATTTTTGGTGGAGGCGCCGGGAAATAATTTTTCTCGTGTTTTTAAATTTTTAATTTATTAAAATTGTTTCACCTCATTCGGTTAATGCATTTTTAACCTCATTACTAAACAAAATACCTTATTTCTAATAACAACTGGATTATTTGCTAAAAATCATTGTTCTAAAACAATATAATAAAATAAAATGAAAATCATTTGTGAAAAATACACAGAAATGTTATAAATGCGGGTCAATATTTTCATATTATTCCCCTGATTGATAAAACTACTTGTTGGAAATATTTTGTGGGCTATTTACAGATTTAATTTTGTTGTCATATTTGGACGGAAATATTTAAATATCGATTCCTGGTTTTTATTATGTTTTCATATTAGTTGAACATAAATTACCGCGAACGCTACATGTTTGTCGGTAGTTTAGTAAGTACACACAGATCTATAAACAAATAAATCTGCCTTCATTGTGGTTTTGTTAACGTTTACAACAAAAATATCCAGAAGCCAGCCATCTTTATATTAGTCGGAGACTACGAAAATAGGCCAACTATTTTTCAGACCCGCTTAATCCTACACAAACAAAATACCCTGATAAACATCTTTTCTTGAACTCTACAGTAAAATAACAACCAACAAGGTGTTTCCTTTTATCGATTTTACGTATTAAAAAACCCCGTGTTTTTGAAAGATTTGTTGTTGTCCAATGTTCACGCATGACACTAGTAATTGTATGAAATAAGAAAAGCCGATTTTTTTGTTACACGTTAACTACTTCAATCCATGTTTGTTGACAACAAAATTATAACACTTCATCGTCGTTGAAATCCACGAGTTGTTTACTTCTCCTGACGCAATGAAGATTCAACCGAAAGAAAAACTTTTCCCTAGAGAAGACTCCATGAAAATTGTGAATACAGATTTTGCAACTCTGCCAAGTGGGAAAAATATTCCAGAAAAAAACAATTTACACAAATCTTTCAGTAAGATGTTAGTTCTAGCACAAATTTTTGGATATTTGCCGGCACAGGGAATATTAGGCCCTGATTTTCGTTCCTTACACTTCACGTGGAAATCAGTGAGAGTGTTGTATGCAGTTCTGACCATCGTAGGTGCCATTTTTGTTTCTGTGATGCAAATGCACAAAATTTTTGTAAAGGGCTTTGATTTAATGGAAGCTAATAGATTTTTCTTTAATTTTTCTGGTGTAGTAGGAGGAATTTTGTTTTTGAAGTTGGCAATAACTTGGCCTACTTTAATCAAAGACTGGACATCTGTGGAAGTGTCCATGTTGAGTTATGGATGGCCTGCTGGACTGAACAGAAAACTTAATACTTTGTTAATAACGTTCTCGGTTATGGGTTTAGGTATATATATATATACTCGAGTGTTAAATAAATTGACATTTTTTTTCAGTTGAACATCTTCTAGGACAGATCAACAAGCTTATTTTATCATTAAATTGCAACACTGGGGTGGCTGAAGGTTTCAATTATTTTTTAAGCAACATGTCTTTTTCGCATATTTTTTCTATTATGGATTATGATGTTTTTAAAGGTTTAACACTTCAAGCTATTAATTTACAGTTGTGTTTTATATGGACGTTTAATGATCTCTTTGTGATGATACTCAGTACAACGTTATCTTACAGATTTAGCCAGATAACGGCCAGAATACAGTCAGTTGCAGATGCAAAAGTACACAAAATATTTAACTATGGTGTCAAAATTTATCTGGTTTAATTATAGATTGATAGCGAAATTATTTGGAAAAATTTGCGCGAGGATTACAACAGGTTATGTAGACTCTGTAGACGAGTGGATGAGGAGATTTCTTACATAGTTCTTATGACTTTTGCTTCTGATTTATTCTTTATCTTAGTACAGTTGTTTAATAGCTTGCGACACTTAAGGAACGATATAGAACGTATATACTTTTACTGGTCCTTTGGTTTCTTAATTGTACGAACAATTAGTCTTTGCTTATTTGGGGCGCAAGTCAACGATGAAAGTACGAAACCTATGTTAGTCCTCAATTCAGTTTCTTCTAGTGTATATAACTTAGAGGTAATCAAATTTTTGCAACGGTCAAAAACACACTTTTATGTTGTTTTAGATTCAACGATTTATTCAACAAATTGGCACTTCTGAAGTGGCAATCACTGGAAAAAATTTCTTTAGTATTACTAGAGGTTTGATATTAAGCGTAAGAATTTTCCTTTTCGTGTTTAGACAGTTTTCGATAATTTATGCATTGTAGATAGCGGGTGCTATAGTGACCTATGAATTAGTCCTCATTCAGTTTAATGATGCTTTATTGAAAAGTGATCCTGAAGAAGAAGGCGTGTGCCCAGTTTATGTATAGTCTTTTTAACATTAGTAAAAATATTCTGAAGTTCATGTTCTGTTTAAAATGTAAAATTTGCAAAAATTAAAGTGAGTGCCTTGACACTTTTGGTAGTCGCGTGTTATTAATGGTTTATAAGAGATTTTAATTTTGTTATCCAATAAATATTTTAAGTAAGCTGATATTTTTTGAAAAATTCGGGAGTGTGTAAGACAAATCACCCTTGACCAAATAGTTTACATACTTTGCCTTTGGTAGCTAATGGAAGACGAAAATATCCCCGTATTGATTGCTTTCACTCAGTGTTCTTTCTGCATACATACATTTTGTTTTGATTATGAATTTTTAATTGGTCAATTTGTTGATATCCGTGAACAGTCTGCTCAGACCCGTTATTAGTGTACGTTTACTTAGAAATAGGCAGCGATACATAATTCTCTTCATTAATTCTAATGTTTTTTAGCGTTTCTTATTAAGTACCTTGGAAGTATATGTTTGATTTACTAAGTTCTAAGTTTTGCTTCAAACTGGCATCAAATGAAAGCTGCCTTATGGTTACACTTTAGTTGATTTAAATCACGCAATAAAAGTCGCAATGACCCATAAACATAAACTTGTGGACCAAAATAGCTTAAGTAGGGTGCATTCCTCCATGAAGTTTTCTTTAACCTTACTTCAAATTTGTGGATTTTTTCCTGTATCGGGAATATGCAAATCTAGTTGTACCACCCTAAAATTTTCGTGGTTATCATTTAGAACTTTTTATTCAGTATTTTGGTTTATATGTATGAGCTTAGTTGCTTCGGTTGAGACATATAAAGTTTTTTTTGTAGATCAGTCCGAAGGACAAACCAGTGAGTTTTCCCAATTATGTTGTAAAGATAAATGTCTTCAATCAGTTTTTTAGCTTACACTGTATTTTACATATCTGGAGTTTTGTGTCATATTTTCTTTTTAAAACTAGCACAAGAGTGGCCTGAGTTAATGGAAGAATGGCACAATATAGAAGTCGTAATGGGGACTGCAGGAGAAACTACAAATTTAAGGAAAAAATTAAATATTTTAAGTGGCACCTTTACATTTATAGCTACAGGTAATTTTAACCGAATATTTTTAACTTTGATGATGTATTTTTTTATTTTAGTGGAACACATTTTGGTTAAATGGCACCTTCTTTACGAAATTGCACAAAAGTGTGGTTCTACTGATAATATGACTAAACAAGCTTTAGTTTATATGAATTACTATACATTCAGCTATATAACTAAATATTCTTTGTGGAAAGGACTTTTCTTTGAGATGATAACAATCAGGAGTACTTTTTCGTGGACTTTTATTGATGTTTTTATAATGTTACTCACTACAGCTTTTGCTCTGAGAGTTAAACAATTTACGTCCAAAGTTGGAATCTTGACGAAATCTAAGGTAGGTAATTACATTTTCAAACAACTTTATAAAATTTAATAATCGTGACACTAATAGCAATATTCTTAGACGACTGACATCAAAGAGTGGAAAAGGTTACGACAGGAGCACTATCAGCTCTACCAGTTATGTTATCTTTTGAACAACAGATTAACGTACATAATATTTTTATCCTATGGTACTAATTTATATTTTATCCTAATACAACTTTTTGGAAGCATGAAGCATTTGACAAGCAGTTTGAGAAAAATTTATTACTGTATGTCATTTTTTCTCTTAATAGTTAGGTTGTTAGGAGTCACCTTGTACGGTGCAAGGGTTAGTAACGAAAGTAAAAAGATTCTTCCTTTGTTATTTTCTGTACCTGCGTCTTCATATAACAAAGAAGTAAGATTTGTATTTATTCTTATAAACTATGAATGTTATATAATATTTATTTGTAGGTTGAATGCTTGATAGATCAAGTTATTAAGAATGAAATAATTATTTCTGTTAAGAATTTTTTCAAAATAACTAAGGGGCTACTATTTAAGGTATACTTAGAAAAAAACATATTTTATTTTGCTGTTATCTTTAATTTTTAGTTTACTGGAGTTTTGGTTACTTACGAACTCGTTTTAATACAGTTCAATACATACTCTCTGTACACAGACGAAATTCTGGGAGACGACAAATGTCAGTTGTTTACAAATAGTACCTAAAAATGAATAATCTCTTGCTCCTGCTGGCTTGTAATGAAAGAAATAAATTTGTTTCAAAATTTATCAAACTATTTATTTACTACTGAAGGAATTCCTAAGAAACTTGCTACTGCATTAACTAAATCATCGAACTATACAGGTCATTGTTTTCGGAGATCCTCAGTATCATTATTGACAGATGCGTATTTTACTTTATACTAGTCTTACTTATAATATTGTAACTCGGTATCGAGTAAGTTCCTTTGAACAGTTTTGTAGTAGGCGTTGGACGAAAAACGTCAAAATAATTGTCACTATCATTACTTTTTTATTTCTCAAATGCCCTATTGAATAAAAACTTACGTAACAAAAGTTTCTTAAAATATACTTTATTATTTCTAGAGCAATTTATTTTTTAAGGACATCCGAAAACTAAAAAATTTCGAGTTATTTTACCGCACCGGAGCGTGGGAAAACACTGAGTGACTGTAAAATCGCAGTTACGGTGGACGTCATCTGTTCACGAATGAGCTGTTTACAGATCAGGAAGTCAACACATCTTTAGTGATATTTATTTAGTTATTTATTATTAGTAGTTGAAATTAGATTAAGGTTTGTAATATTCTTTTGAATGTAAACAATCAACATGGTGCGCATTACGTCACCTAAGGCAAAGTACATTTCTTAAGGTGGTTACAGAAATTGAATTCCAATCGAAAAGAAAGACATCATCAGTATTGATTCCTTTTAGTAATTGTTAAAATAGTTATTTTTTCACACATGTACCATTAATTTTTTACGTGAAAATGATTATTCTGTTTTGATGATGAATTTTTAAATGAAGTGATAATTTGTCGATATCTGCACACAATCTTCTCTGAATGTGGAAACCCATTATTAATTTAGGTTTACTGTGAAACGAGCAGCCCCTCATATTCCCTACTTTAATTCTGTTGTTTTCTAGCTTTTTTTATTATGTGACTGACAATTACGTATTTATTTGATTTACCAATCTCTTGTTTAAGCTGCCATAACATGAAAGCCATTTTATTTGATTACGTTAGTGTGTTTAGTTTCTTTGCTGCATTGACTTAAGTCACCGTTGAAAGTCACAATGAGCTACGAACATAAAATTGTTGATAAAAATAGCTTAATTAGCGTGCATTCCTCCATGAAGTTTTCTTTAACTTTACTTCAAATTTGTGGATTTTTCCCTTTATCTGGAATATACAAATCTAGTAGCAGCACCCTAAGATTTTCCTGGTTGTCACTTAGAACAATGTATTCCCTATTTTGGTTTATATGCTTGTGTTTATATTCTTCTGTAGAGATATATAAAGTGCTTTTTGTAGATCAGTCAATTGGACAAACTAGTGAGGTTCCTAATTGTATTGTAATCATGAACATTTAAATCAATTTTCAGCCAACACTGCATTTTACATATCTGGAATTTTATGTCATTTTTTCTTTTTAAAACTGGCACAAAACTGGCCTGAGATAATGAACGAATGGCACAATACAGAAGTCACAATGGGGATTACACGTATAACTACAAATTTGAAAAGAAAATTAAACATTTTAAGTGTTATGTTTACCTTTCTAGCCACAGGTAAGTATAACGGAGTATTTAAGATTTTTACTGGTTTTTATTTCAGTGGAACATATTTTGATCAAATGTTATCTTTTTCGTGAAATTATGCGAAAGTGCGGTCTTTCTGATGAGAGGAGTAAACAAGTTTTAATTCATACGCATTTTTTTATCTTTTACTATATCTCTAAATACTCATTGTGGAAAGGAATTTTCTTTCAACTCATAGTAATCAGGAGTACTTTTTCCTGGACTTTTATTGACGTTTTTATAATGCTAATCACCACAGCTTTTGCTTTGAGAGTTAAACAATTTGCGTCAAAAGTTGAAATTTTAATGAAATCTAAAGTAAATAATTACCTTTTTGTAACTAAGTATGTCACTAAATTAGTATTTTTAGGAGAATGACATTGAAGATTGGAAAAAACTACGACAGGAACATTATCAGCTCTACCAGTTATGTTGTCTTTTGAATGATAGACTAACATACATAATATTTGTTTCTTATGGTACCAATTTGTATTTCATTCTAATACAACTTTTTGGAAGCATAAAACATTTGACAAATACTCTGAGAAAAGGTTATTACTACATGTCATTTGTTCTCCTAATAGCCAGGTTATTGGGAGTCACCTTGTTTGGCGCAACAGTTGGTAATGAAAGCAAAAAGATTCTACCTTTGTTATTTTCTGTACCTTCGTCTTCATATAATAAAGAAGTGAGTTATAATTGCTTCAACTTAAACCATGAATGTTCTACAACTGTGTGTTCTAGGTTGAACGCTTGATAGATCAAGTTGTTAAGAACGAAATAGTTGTTTCCGTTAAGAATTATTTCAAAATAACTAAGGCATTACTATTTAAGGTAAATTTAAAAAAGTAGGGCTAATTTCTACTTTGATGTTGTCTTTATTTTGTAGTTTACTGGAGTTTTGGTTACTTACGAACTTGTTTTAATACAGTTCAATACATACTCTCTATACACAGACTCAACAGCGGAATTTGACAAATGCTGGTTATTTACAAATAGCACATAAAACAATGAAGACGCTTCATAAATTGAGTTGATATTATTGTCTAATGCTTCACATCTTAATTGATGTGTAGATAATTTATTTTCTTGCAGCAGATCATCTAAACGAAATTATTATAAATGTTTTATCAGCTCTAACACTGCTGTTAAATGTGTAAACAATTCAACAAATAAACACAGTGTTCGTTTTACTTCCTGAGCGTAAGCTAAGGTACTACGAAACTCATATTTGCACTTTATAACATAACATACTCCTACATTTGTGGTTTATGAGTCTACTTTGATTTTTATCACAATTGTTTTACAAAAATTTTTGGGCGCATAGCTGATATTAGGGTAACGTGCATAACGACTGCCGATGGAAGTGTGGATTTCTTAGAGAACTTGAGCTCTGCTCGGGGTAGTTCGATCCCATCCTTGTCGACATTTTTTTAGTACATAGAGTTTGTTTGAACATTTGTCTTCAGGTGCGAGAGAAATTCTGAATAAATGACTTTAGATCAATTTTTTTTTAAATACGTATAATTGCATATCAGCATAAAAATTAGCTCAAGAGAAAATTGCACTTTTTTTTCATTACAAAATCTAGTAAAAATCATGAATCTAATAATAACAGTGTTGTATTAAATATATTAAACCAAGACTTTTATTGAAGGATGCACTCTATGAATGCAGAATTGATCGGGCTTCAAGGTCGGGGGAAGTTCTGGAAATAACATACAGCAGTTTTTGTAATGTAGTTATTTTGTTATTCCAATAAACGCAAAAACCACGTGAAGTTGTTTTGTATTCATTATAATCAAATCACAATCAACCGACACATAATAGCTTCCCCTTTACGGACAGTGTTTTTAATATTTAATTATGTGGATAACATTATTAACCTTTCCCTCGTGTCCGTAATCATTCTGACATGCAATGTCAAGCTCACACCACACATTTTAACTTATTTAAAACATGCTAAGTTGTTATTCCCAGATTTGTTGTCCAAGTATTTTTTTATTATGTTTGCGGAAGAAAATATCAATAATGTTTCCTATATCCAAGCAAATCATTACACTGTTTGTTTACTTTCAGCTATTTGTTTCTTTTGTTTATCAAAAAATACTGCTTCGTTTGGAGACGAACTATTCGCTTTGTTTTGACCGAAATATATGGTTATGCAGGCAAAAAAAATTGTCAATATACACCCATCCATTAAATTTTCTCTACGTTTCCTCCAAGTGTTTGGATTTTTTCCGTTAAATGGAATACACAATTCTCATCCTAAATATTTAAAATTTTCCTGGGTATCTTTTAATATTATTTATTCATTTGTTTCTTTTTCCTTATTACTTTTTTATCTTATTCCGGTTGCATATCAAGCCCTTTTTATAAATGCATCTTTAGGAGAAGCCAGTAAGTATGTGTATCTTGAGTTTTCTTTAAAAATGCTTGCACTGTTTGTAGCTAATTTGGCATTCCATATTTCTGGGGTACTGTCGAACATATTTTTTCTAAAGCTGGCGAAGAACTGGCCTCATCTGATTAAAGAATGGCATTCTATTGAAATAGAAACGGGAAACATAGGCATAAATACAAATTTAAAAAGGAAATTAAAAGTTTTGACAGTAACATTTTTGTCAATAGCTACAGGTGTCTCAATATAACACACTATTGATTTATAACAGCACTTTATTTTCAGTGGAACACTTACTAATTCAGTTTTACTTATTTCTCAACGTGTTTAGTGCCTGCAAGACCATAAATGACGGATTAAGAAAATTTTACACTAGCATCTATTTTCAATTTTTTTCTTTGACTAATTTTGCTGCATGGAAAGCAGTGGTTGTACAAATTGTTGCAATTAGGACTACGTTCTCTTGGACTTATACGGATGTTTTTATAATTTTAATGAGTACAGCTTACGTTGTTCGAGTCAAGCAATTTACTACCAAACTCGAAATTTTGCTTCGGGCTCAGGTGTGTATTAAATTGTACTGCCTTTTATTCCAAATTCATGTTTGTTTGCAGGCAAAGAATTCATTAATATGGAAACAAATGAGGGGTGAATATTATCGTGTTTACAATCTATGTTGTCTTCTAAATGATAAATTATCATACATCATTTTGGTCTCTTACGGTACTAATTTGTATTTCATTTTGGTACAACTTTTTGGAACTCTGAGACCTAACATTGGTGTTATACGAAAGACGTATTATTATATTTCTTTGGTGTTGCTAGTTCTTAGACTCGTATGTGTTACTCTGTATGGGGCGTCGGTTAATAGTGAAAGTAAGAAAGTGCTACCTTTATTATTTTCTGTTTCCTCAAAAGCCTATAACAAAGAGGTAAGTTTGTACTTTAGTACATTCAGTGCAGTTATAACAATAAAGTTTATTTTTCTAGGTGGACCGTCTTATTGATCAAGTTATTAAAAATCGAATCGTTATTTCAGTTAAAAATTTCTTTAAAATAACGAAGACTTTAATCTTACAGGTAAACTTTTTATTTTGTGGTTAAAAAATTAATGTGTACATGTTTTAGCTGGCTGGAGCTGTAGTTACTTACGAATTGGTACTAATCCAGTTTAATTCTCAGTTACTTAACGTCGACGACGAACAGCAAGAGAATAACTACTCCAACAACACATGTGAATAAGTATAATATACATATCATTATTTTTCGATGTTGGTACTATTTCCCTTGCAGAAATTTCTGAAAAAATATATTCACTCTATTCATGACGAAGATCTCCTTTTAGACTAGTTGATCATAATTCGTATAAAATTTTTGATTTTTTCGTAGATGTAAAATCAATAATTCTTTGCAATAAAAATTATATATGTACTTTATTTTCTGAAACGACACAGGGCTAGTTAATAAAACTGCAGCAGTTATATGACCGTAAAAGGAAGTGTTAGTCTTATTAAGTTTTGTTTTTTCTTAAAGGAAGAAGCTTATTACACCACAGGTAAAGGAACATGTTATGCGTATGTTTCTAGTGAATTACTTAATACATGGAAGAAAGCGATTTTGTAGTTGGCTTGTCATATGTTCCCTATATAATATTACCGCTGTGACTGTTATTTGAAAAAGTATTATTAAAATGCCTAACTTCCATAACGAAACCTCTTATATGTATTAAAACATCTGAAATACATAACATACCGAATTCTTCCAGAGGTTTCTATTATTATTCCAAGACATTTTGTGAAACATTGTTCATAATAAACAAACATTTGTATTTATTTTTCACATATATTTCTCTCATTTGTGGTGTTTTCTTAAATATATACTTTCAGAATTCTTGATGAAGTCTAAAGTAAACCTCAAAGTATTTGTATATTAAATACAGCACAGTTTATTTTTATTGCTGAATTAAGAATAAAAGTAATTGTTAAACAGTAGACTAATGGTAATTTTGATGTTATTGACGAATTTATCTAGCAATTACTTTAATAGTGTATGTGTGCTGGTAATCTGTGTATTATTCATTCCGTTTCTAATACAAGTAAACATATTTTTTAACATTATAGACAATATTATATTTCACCAAAAATAAATAAATTTATTGTTGTTTGTAAAATAATCTTACAAATGGACGAAAACATACATTCAACTCTAAAAAAATTTTTGATTGTTAACCAAATAATTGGTTATTTTCCTGTACAAGGATTGTATCAAGATAATTTTCGATTATTAAAATTTTCGTGGTTCTGTTTCTGCTGTTATTTTTAATTGTTGTAACCGTGTTAGTTATTCCGACTATGGTCATTCGAAAAAAAATATCTGATTATTTAAGTGATTTTAATGCTTTGTAAAATTCCACTCAATTTAAATTTGATTTCTAGCATTGCTCATTTTTTGTTCAACGCAAATTTTAGCTTTCTGTATTTCTATTCGACTGGCTCAAGAATGGCCAGACTTTATGGTACGTTGGAAGAATCTGGAAGACAGAATGGGAAATTTTAAAATGAATGATCGATTAATTAAAAATGCGAAAGTATTAATTGTTTTGATTATAATGCTCCAGGCTGGTAGTTTTGCTATCTTTTGTTGGAATCTGAATTTTTTCTTCATGTGTGATTTTTCAGCTGGAACATCGTGTCAACATGAGTATCAATTTATGATAGCTGCAGAACAAGAAACAACTCTATCAGGCATTTTAAAATTTTTTGTTTTAAAAATTTTCGTCTGCTCTCACGTGTTTCTATTGGTTGGGTATAATTTCTTCACTGGTGTTACAACATGGGTATATTCGCAGCTAAAATCTATTCAAAACCAAGTAATTTCATAAAATTTGCAGGTATTATTTATTCAGGCAGGATTTATCAGCTACTTCTTAGATCTTTTGTTAATAGCGTTATCTGCAATATTTGTTACAAGACTGAAGCAACTTAAAAATAAAATTAAAGTAATGATTAAAGCAAATGTAGGTAACATTTACGTGCAACTAAAAATATATTAATCATACTTATATTAAAGATTAATAGTGCAGAAATGTGGAAGCGTGCTCGAAAAGAACATTACCAACTTTGTCATTTGTGTGAAATTATTAACACTAAGCTGGGACCCGTCGTGTTGTTATCATTTTTTAGGAGTGTATTTCTGATTCTACTTAATAGAGCATCTTTTTTAAAAGTTACGAATAGTATCGTTAAGTGGTTTTCTTTTAATTTAGCTCATGCAGCTGTGGTTTTGCGAATACTGAATATTATTTTTTATGCTGCTGCAATTTGTGAAGAACATTCCAAAATTCGGACGTATATACTTTCCGTACCGGTTTCTCTAAACAATGTAGAAGTTAGTAAAACTAGAAATGTACACTAAAATATAATGTTTTTTGATTTTTTGTAGATTTCCAGACTTACTGATCAGGTGTTGTATATAGAAGTCGCTATAACTGGAAATAGATTTTTTACTGTAAGGAAAAACACCGTTTTGGTTGTAAGATTTTGTGATGAGTAGTAATGTTCCCAATTGTGCTGTTTTTTTTTTAGATTGCTGGTATTGTGGCAACATACCAGTTGCTTTTAAACCAATTACACGCACAAATAATACCTAATTTTAATGTTATAAATAATGCAAATAAAACTGGATATCACAAAAACTAGTCGTAATTATAAATAACTGTAATTCTTAGCCTTCCTTAACTATTGGTATAAATTACGATCAAATATCGTCAGTGATGTTTTAGTGTTATATGATCGAAAAAAAAAGCCATCGGGTCAGCTATGGAATTACTTTTTATATGAACTGTAGTCGCAATATTATTGTTTTTTATTGAAGTTATTAGTTAATTTTACATTTGTATTGTCAGTGTAAATAAAATAAAATGGTTGAAATTCAACATAAAGTTTGTTGTTATTGGCTTGACGTTTTGAATTTGATCATCATGTATACCGTCATAAAATTTTAAATATGTTGCCAACCTGATAAAAAAATACAAACCTGAGTAGTCAATCGATATATTATTTTTATCTTTATATTTTGGATTTTTAGAGAAAATAAGGAAACATTTAGTGACATTTATTTGATTTGTATATATATTTATATATTATTATATACTCGAAAAATTAAAATGTGTGGAGACTTAATGGAATTAAGCTAATATTTGCAGGAATAGCATAGTTTTGTTTCATAAAAAGCCAATGTGTGTAAATAATCAATACGTGGGTCTTACGTCCCCCGAGTCAATAGTAATTTTCTTAAGATTGTTATTCGAAAGTAATTTATTTGTTATTTTCATAAAGAAAAGGAAATATAAAAAAATCATACTAAATTGCTAAACAAAGAAGAGAATATCACTCATAATGCTAGCTTTTAGTAACTGGAAAAAGAGTTGTTTTTACACAAATAAACCATCAATTTACTATATGAAAATGGTTATTCTATTTTGATTATTAATTTTTCAATGCACTGATAAATTTGTTGATAACTGTACGCAACTAGTTCAGAATACAGAAGCTCATTATTAATTTAAGTTTACTTAGAAATAAGTAGTTCCAGAATTTTTGTCGGGTTGAATTATATAATTTTTAAAAATTTTTATTATGCACTTACGTATTTGAGTTACCAAGTTCTTTAAATTATCATAAGGTTCAAGCTACTTTAAGGGGTGCTTTAGATAGCCCTGCTTTGCTTTGACTTAAATCACTGAAAAAAAAATCCAATGGGTCAAAAACACAAATTTATGAAGAAATGTAACTCAGTTGATGTACATCCCTCAATGAAGTTTTCTTTAAATTTACTGAAAATTTTCGGATTTTTTCCTTTATACGGAATATGTAAATCTAGTAACACCCTAAAATTTTCGTGGCTATCTCTAAGAACTCTTTATTCATTATTTTGGTTTATTTGTTTGTGTTTATATTCTTCTATAGAAATATATAAAGTGTTTTTTGTAGATCAGTCCATGAAACAAACTTGTAAGTTTCTTAACTCTATTGTAATCACGACATTTTAGATTAATTTTTAGCCGTTGCTGCATTTTACATATCTGGAATTTTATGCCATATTCTTTTTATTAAGCTGGCACGAAATTGGCCTAAATTAATGAACGAATGGCACAATACAGAAGAGACAATGGGAATTACAGGAATAACTATAAATTTAAGAAAAAAAATTACAAATTTTAAGTACTACCTTCATATTTCTAGCTGCTGGTAATTCTGTTAGAGTATTTATTTTCGACTTTAAATGTGTTTGCATTTTAGCTGAACATATTTTAATCAAGTGGTATATTTTTCGTGAAATTGCACGAAAGTATGACTCAGCTCTGTGGACAAAGCAAGCTTTAGTTTATATGCATTATTATACATTTTGCCATATAACTCAATATTCTTTGTGGAAAGGAATTTTCTTTCAGATCATAACAATCAGGAGTACTTTTTCGTGGACGTTTATTGATGTTTTTATAATGTTAGTCACTACAGCTTTTGCTCTGAGAGTTAAACAATTTACGTTTAAAGTTGAAATTTTGGCGAAATCAAAGGTAGGTAATTGCAGTTTATAACAACTTTCTAAAATTTAATAAACAGGAGTAATATTTTTAGGCCAATAACATTAAGCTGTGGAAAAAACTACGGCAGGAGTACTATCAGCTCTACCAATTATGTTGTCTCTTGAATAATAAGTTAACATACATAATATTTTTATCCTATGGTACTAATATGTATTTTATTCTAATGCAACTTTTTGGAAGCATGAAGCACTTGACGAGTACTTTGAGAAAAGTTTATTACTATATGTCATTTTTTCTTCTAATAGCTAGGTTGTTGGGCGTTACCTTGTTTGGCGCAAGTGTTAGCAACGAAAGTGGTAAAATTCTACCTTTGTTATTTTCTGTACCTTCTCCTTCATACAACAAAGAAGTGAGATCATTGCTTTAATTTAAAGTATGAATATTTAATAACCATTTTTTCTAGGTCGAACGCTTGATAGATCAAGTTACTAAGAACGAAATAGTTATTTCCGTTATGAATTTTTTCAAAGTAAATAAGGCGTTACTCTTTAAGGTACACATAAAGCAGAATTGTTAGTTTTTATTTTCCTTTACTGCTGTTTTTAATTTTTAGTTTACTGGAGTTTTGGTAACTTACGAACTCGCTTTAATGCAATTCAATACATACTCTCTGAACACAGATGAAACTGTAGAAGATGACAGATGCTGGTTGTTTACAAATAGTACATAAAATAATAAGTAACCTTCATGTTATCTATGTATATTAAGTCATATTATGCAAAAGAATGTACTAATAGAGTAGTAGCCAAATATAGACAAGAAATAATTGAACAATTGATAATAATCAGCAAATTTCCCAGAAAACAAAGACCTTACTTTTTTTGTTCTAAGAATAAATATAATTGTTAATTAGTAGATCGTTTGTAAGGTTGATATTATATCTAGTAAATACGTTAATAATATATGTATACTTTAGTTTGTTTGTTGCCCATGCCATTGTCTAGTACAAGTAAACAAGGTTTTTAACAATCCAGTGTAGCTAAAAGTTGTTTTAGCGAAAGTAAAAATTCCAACCAGTGACCAATAAAAAACATCACACATGGATGAAAATATACATTCTACTCTACAATTATTCCTGATTATTAGTCAAATAATGGGTTATTTTCCCGTACAAGGTTTATTTGAAAACAATTATCGATGCCTAAAGTTTTCATGGTTATCTTTTAAGACGATTTATTCATTATTACTGTTACTGTTTTCAGTTTTTGTAACATTATTAGTTATTGCAATTATGATAATACGAAAGAATTTTTCTGATTACTTAAGTAATTTCAATGTATTATAAAATTTCACATTGTTATGACATTTAATTTGTAGCATTACTAATGTACTGTTCAACTCAAGTTTTAGGATTCAGTTTTACCATCAAACTAGCTCAAGAATGGCCAGGTTTTATGGTGTCCTGGAAGAAGCTGGAAGACAAAATGGGAAATTTTAAAATGAACACTCGATTACTTAAAAATGCAAAAATTTTAGTTATAGTTATTATAATCCTCAAGGGTGCTAATTTTGTTACGTCTTAAGCGTGAAAATTTTTCTACACCCTTGAGTTTTCAGCTGGATTACTGTCTCAGTATACTTATCAATTTATCATAGCTGCAGAACAAGCAACAACGCTAACAGAAGCTTTTAAATTTTTTGCTTTAAAGCTTTTTCTTTGTTCTCATGTGTTTTTAGTAGTGGGATATAATTTCTACACCGGTATTATAATATGGGTATATCACTAACTATTAACATGCAACGAAACTCAACGAACTTCATGAATAAATGTTGTAGATATTATATATTCAAGTAACACTCATCTGCTACTTCATAGATTTCTTATTAATAGTTTTGTCAGTAATATTTGTGGCAAGACTGAAACAACTTAAAAATAAAATTAAAATAATAGTTAATGCAAAGGTTTGAAATAATGTCTGTAAAAAAAATAATAGTCATATAACTATCTTTTTAAAGATTAATAATGCGGCAGTGTGGAAACGCATTAGACAATAACATTATCAGCTTTGCTATTTGTGTCAAACTATTAACAATAAACTGGGATCTATGGTGTTACTATCATTTTTTACAAATTTATTTATAATTGTGGTTAATGGAGCATCTGTTTTAAAAATTACAAATAATATCGTCCAAAAGCTTTCCTTAATTTTAGCCAATGCAGTTATAGTTACAAAAATACTGAGTATTAGTTTCTATGCTGCTGCACTTTATGAAGAACATTCCAAAATTCAAGCATACATTCTTTCAGTGCCACTTTCTCTGTACAATTTAGAAGTTAGTAAAAGCAGAAATGTGTAATAAAACTAAATATTTTTTGGATTTTTGTAGATTTGCAGACTTACCAACCAGGTGTTGTATGTAGAAATCGCTATTACAGGAAGCAGATTTTTTACTGTAAGGAAAAGAACTGTTTTGACTGTAAGATTTTGTGAGTGGTATTTGTAACGCTACTGTTTTTTTTCAGATCGCTGGTTTTGTGGCGACATACCAGTTGGTATTAAAGCACTTAAACACACAAATTATACCAAATTTTAATGTTGTAAGTAATACAAATAAAACTGGATATCCCAAGAACTAGTAATTATATACACAATTCGTAGACGTCATCAATTACTGGTATAAATTACGATGAAATAAGGTTAACGTCATTTGCTTATAAAATATTTGTAAACGTATTATCAATAAAAGTTAATATTAAAATTCGTACTACTTTTACGTAATAAATATTTTACAAAGCATTTTTCTATTCAAATTTATTATTATATTAGTGCAGTTGCGTACTGTCGAGAAATCAGTTGTTGACTTTTACCCACGCCGATTAATTTCCGTAAATCCTAACAATATCGATAAGAAAAAACATTCGAGTATAAAAGCCACTTTTGACTTATTGTTATGTTATCGTCTATCAGTAAATTTTACAAGAAAGAAAGCCTCTATTTTTGTGTGTTTTTTTTAAGAATCAGTTTAATGAATCGGTAGATTATATTTGTAAAGCTGATATTATTAATGACTTCTTCCATTAATTACGTTAATAATAATTTATGTATAGTTTACCCTTGTTTACTGACTATTGCGGGTCTAGCACGAGTAAACAAGGTTTTTAACAATACGGTGTTAAGATTCACTCACCAAAAATAAAACATCACATATGGATGAAAGTATACATTCCACTCTAAAACTATTTCTTATTTTTGGTCAAATAATGGGTTATTTTCCTGTACAAGGTTTATTTGAAGATAATTTTCGATTGCTAAAATTTTCGTGGTTCTCTCTAAAAACGATTTATTCATTGTTACTGCTCCTATTTCTAGTTTTTATCACCTTGTTAATTATTGTGATTATGATCATACGAAACAATTTTTCTGATTATTTAAGTAATTCTAGTGTATGTGTGAAATTTCAGTCAATTTAAATTTAATTTTTAGCGTTGCTCATTTTTTGTTCAACACAAATTTTAGCTTTTTGTATATCTGTGCGACTAGCTCAGGAATGGCCAGATTTGATTGTACGTTGGAAGAATCTGGAAAACAAAATGGGAAATTTTAAAATGAATAATCGTTTAGTTAAAAATGTTAAAATTCTGATGATCGTGATTATAATTCTCAAAGCTGGTAGTTCTGTTTCTCCTATATTTATTTTTTTTGTACGCATGAGCTTTCAGCTGGAATACTGTGTCAACATATATTCCAATTTATGACCGCTGCAGAACAAGAAGCAACAGATTTTTTTAAATTTTTTGCTTTAAAACTTTTCGTTTGTTCTCATGTGTTTCTAATAGTTGGATATAATTTCTACATCGGTGTTGCAATATGGGTATATTCACGATTAGCATTTAATAAAACCTAGAGAACTTAATTTATAAATGTTGTAGATATTATATCTTCACGTTACACTCATCAGTTACTTCGTAGATTTCTTGTTAATAATGTTACCTGCAATATTTGCGGTAAGACTGAAACAACTTAAAAATAAAATTAAAATAATAGTTAAAGCCAAGGTTTGGAATACATAAGTGTCAGTAAAAAATTTAATAAGCAAAGATATTTTTAAAGATTAATACTGAGGCAGTTTGGAAAAGCATTAGAGAAGAACATTATCAGCTTTGCGATTTGTGTGAAACTCTTAACAATAAACTGGGATCTATGGTGTTATCATCCTTTTCTACGAATTTATTTCTTGTTTTGGTTAATGGAGCATCTGTTTTAAAAATTACAAATAACATCATGAAGACGTTTTCATTTAATTTAGTCAATGCAACGATAGTTTTGAAAATACTGAGTATAAGTTTTTATGCTGCTGCACTTTATGAAGAACATTCCAAGATTCGGGCACATATTATTTCCATGCCACTTTCTCTGTACAATTTAGAAGTTAGTAAAAATAGAAATGTGTATTAAAACTAATTTTTTATAGATTTGCAGATTAACGGATCAGGTGTTGTTTATAGAAATCGGTATTACAGGAAACAGATTTTTCACTGTGAGGAAAAGTACTGTTTTGACTGTAAGATTTTGCGAGTAATGGTGTTTGTAACGCTACTTTTTCCTCTCAGATTGCTGGTATTGCGGCGACGTACCAGTTGGTATTAAACCAATTAAATACACAAATTATACCAAATTTTAATGCTTTAATTAATACAAATAAAAGTGGGTATCCCAAACACTAGTCGTAATTATAAATAGTATTCTCAAATTTTTTAACTGTTGGTGTAAATTACGATAAAATAACTTAAATAATATTTTGTTTGTAAAATATTTATAAATAAATGAAATATTAATATCAAAAACCTTACTATTTTTAAGACAATTATTCTGTTATTATAGCATAATATTTTTATTTTTACTAACAAAATAGTAAACAACTTATTTATGTTGTCTGCCACTTGTAAATTATTAATACAATGTATGATTATGAACCAAAACTAAAAGCAAGAGTGAGAATTCCTCTAGTGTGCGACAAGAATTTATAGCATTAAATTATCCCTATTATTGCGCAAGGTATCCCTTTCATACCAGCCTACCCTTCTTTATATTTACCCTAAGGGCCAAAAAGCTGGAATTTAGGATTTGACTTCAATTAAACCAACTCTTAAAACCAATTTCCACTACCTCGCATAATCATACTTCCTTCCGAGAATAATCGCCAAAGCTTATTCCATACCCAAATCTGGGCAACATTCTCGCGGCCAATCAAATCAATGGGAATTCGCATCGAGCCCATCTCTTTGTCTAAGATTTTTTTCCCTTAATATCATAAATGCGTCACCAAATATACACTTCAAATGCAAGTAATATACAATGTTGTTCAGATTCATAGAAAATCCAGGGTTTCGAAGGGGTCCTTCACAGGTCCGGGACCTAAGGGACAATTTTTGCGGATACCCAAGTTTTTAAAAACTCGGACACTAAATGTTTAACTGAACAAAATTATAAAAGAGCCAACAGGGCCCTTGCAGAATTACTACTGCCGTTTCGACCTTCGATTTAATCACTGCGGCACATTTCAGTCTGTTGTCTAATATTCGAGAGCATTTTAGCCCCTTGGAAAGAACAATTGCCAGTACGCTATCCATAGTGAAAACCTATTTCAGTCAACTATTTAACAAAAGGGTAATTCAAGCTTTTCGCGTAATAAATAATTCACGGAACATTTTGCGGTTCGAAGTTACTCCTATTATTTATTATCGTACATTAACATAGTTCATAATAGGAAAACATATACTAGCAATTTTTGAACAAATTGATATGTTTCAAGAAAAGGCCTTTATTTTCGTCGTTGTTCTAAGAATGAGTTTAACGAATAATTGGTAGATTATTTGTAAGGTTGATATTTTCAAGGACTTCATCTAGTAATTACGATAATAATATATTTTTTCTACTCATTAAGGTTGAAGTTTGTCATTTTCCCATCGCTGGCAGTGGATGAAATTTCATTTCACCCTCTAGTGGAAAAATACTCGGCCGTCTACGATTTTAACGGGTCGTCCAGCCTGAGCGTTTCGCAGCTAGCGAAACGTGTCGCGTATCGCCTGCACCGACCGCACCGTCCGCTTCGCGCGCTTCGAAAATCATGACGCCTAGGCTGGACGACCCGTTAGTGTTTGACGTTTAATACTGCTAGTTTACACAATTGAAAACAATGAACATGAGTGAGACTGACGAAGTTTCTGAAGAAATTTTGAATGCTGCCAATGCGGCATTTTCGAATCTGATACAAGTGCAGTTATTGATACAGGAAGCAGCCAACTAAGTTTAAACAAAGATACAAGTTCAAATAATACTTACGATAAAAGTGTAAATATTATTGGTGATAATTGCACAAATTGTTCTATTACAGTTAATGTATTTCAAAAATAAAATACCTACCATAAACAAACATTTATTTCCTAATTTCTTAGAAAAAATAGTATATGCAACTCGCGGATGAAGAAATTTCAACGGCTCGAGTTTCTTTTTCGCACTCGCTCGTTGCACTCGCTCGTGTGAAAAAATCACTCTCGCCGTTGAAATTCAACTTCATCCACTAGTTCCATAATGTACTATTTTTATAGTTTAGACTATTTATTGCCTATTCCACGTGTATGACAAGTAAACAAGTTTTTTAACATTACTATGTTAAGATTGTTCACCGACCATAAAACTTTCAACGAAGTGACGACTTAAAAAAAATCACACATGGACGAAAATATACATTCCTCTTTAAAGTTATTTCTGGTTGTTAGTCAAATTATGGGCTTTTTTCCTGTACAAGGTTTATTTCAAGATAATTTTCGATTGCTAAAATTCTCGTGGTTTTCTTTAAAGACGATTTATTCATTGTTACTGCTACTGTTCTCAGTTTTTGTAACCACATTAGTCATTGTGACTATGATCATACGAAAAAATTTTTCTGATTATTTGGGTACTTTGAATGTATGATAAAGTTCGGATTAATTTAAATTTAATTTGCAGCATTATTAATATACAGTTCATTTCAAGTTTTAGGCTTCTGTTCCTCTATTCAACTAGCTCAAGAATGGCCACGATTTATAGCATTATGGCAAAACCTGGAAGACAGAATGGGAAATTTTAAAATGAATACTCGATTAGTGAAGAATGTTAAAGTTTTAATGATTGTGTTTACAATCCTCAAAGCTGGTAGTTTTGTTACCTCTTATGTGTGAAATCTTTTTCTGTAAGCATGAGCTTCCAGCTGGATTTATGGTTCAATTTACGTACCAATTTATGGTAGCTGCAAAACAAGAATCAACGGTAGCAGAAGTTTTTAAATTTTTTGCTTTAAAGATTGTTCTATGTTCTCATGTATTTCACATAGTGGGATATAATTTCTTCAGCGCTGTTGTGATATGGGTATATTCAGGATTAACACGTAATAAAACCAAAAGAATTTCATTAAATGTTGTAGATATTATATATTCAAATAACACTCATCAGTTTCTTCACAGATTTCATGTTAATAGCCTTGTCTGGAATATTTGTGACAAGACTTAAACAACTTAAAAACAAAATTAAAGCATTAATAAAAACAAAGGTTAGAAGTACATTATAAGTAAAAAATATAACAATAACATATATTCTTAAAGAATAATAGTTCGGAAGTGTGGAAGCGCATTCGAGAAGAACATTATGAGCTTTGCTATTTATGTGAAACTATCAACAATAAACTGGGATTTATGGTATTAGTATCATATTTTACGAATTTATTTCTTATTGTCGTTAATGGAGCATCTGTTTTAAAAATTACAAATAATATCATGAAGACATTTTCGTTTAATATAGCCAACACAACTACAGTTTTAAGAATTTTGAGTATTAGTTTTTATCCTGCTGCACTTTCTGAAGAACATTCCAAGATTCAGGCGTATGTACTTTCCGTGCCAGTTTCCCTATACAATTTAGAAGTTAGTAAAGGTATAAATGCGTAATAAAACTAAATGCTTCCTGGATTTTTGTAGATTTCCAGACTTACTGATCAGGTGTTGTATATAGAAATTGCTCTTTCTGGAAAGAGATTTTTTACTGTAAGAAAAAGAGCTGTTTTGACCGTAAGAATTTTGTGAGTTGCAGTATTTGTAATGTAACTATTTTTTTTGTAGATAGCTGGTATTGTAGCAACATACCAGTTGGTACTAAACCAGTTAAACACACAAATAGTACCAAATTTTAATACTGACAGTAGTTCAAATAAAACTGCATATCCTAAAAACTAGTCGTAATTATATACAGAGTTCTTAGATTTCTTAAACTGCGGATATAAACTACTATACTTCTGCTATCCATAGTGAGAATTGATTGTAGTCACCTATTTAGCAAGAGTAATTCATGGTTTGTCCGTAAAAAATAATACACATATTATTTTTTTGTTCAAATTTATTATTTCTTATCATGAACTAACACAATAATAAGGAAACATATAAAAACAATTATTGTTATATGTTATCGTCTAGTAAGTTTCCCAATGTTCTTGTCTTCCTCCTGGTCCTTTCTACACCGAGCTGTAGTCCATTCGTCATCTTCCACGACTGCTTTCTTCCTGAAGTTGAACCGTGCTTTGGGCTGCTCAACCTCGTCGCAGTGTTTGCAAGACGTAGATGCTTAGTTCATGATTGGCGTCGACTCTCCAGTTACAGTTATCAATCTGATGGTTTCAAGTATAGCTTCTACATCTTCAGCTCTCACGAATCCTTTACGTTCAATTGAAACCTCTGCGCCAGTATCGATGGTGATTGCTGCTGGATTTTCATAAATTTTCCCCGGTATAGTTGAACCACTACCCCTGGTGAAACTTCTTATTTTTACTTCGCTTGCGGCCTTATTCTCACCAGTGAACCCATTCCCAAGAGTACTGGCCCCTTTTACATCTCAGTGAGATCTCTGTTTCGTGCTTCTTCCTGGAGCTGGTAATCGAGCACGACAATCACGTTTGAGGTGTCCCTGGCGCCTACACCTATAGCATTCTACACTTCTCTTACGAGGCATACCATTCTCTACTTTTTGAGATGATATACCATCCATTTGTTGTGGCAGTTTTTCCAGTATCTTCTTTATTCCGTCCGTTTCTTCCATCTCTAGTTCTGCCACCCTGAATTGGTGGCAGGTTCTTAAAGAATTGTGCACCGCTTCCACTTCCAGCGCACGAATCAAGGCATCAGATGATGCCTGATACTTGATAGTTGTAAGACCTTCTTAACTTCAGCCATCTACGAAGGTTCCTGTCGTAAGCCATTCTTGAATAGTCGTTGGTGCTTCAGGGTATGCTAGACGTACCATTGTCTTGAAATCTGCTGCAAATTCTTGTAGAGATTCTCCAACTTTCTGTATTCTTGTCTTTAATAGGGCGGCAAAAACTTGCAAATCGCAGTCCTAGAGCAATAGTTAAGGCACTATATTTGCTTATATCTTCGTCGGATAATGTTTGAAGCATTTCTAGCTCTGTACCTCGCAGAGCTATCACCCAGGCTGTAGCTTTCTGTTCTTCATCCCAAAGATTCGTCATCGCTGCTGCCTCGAACTGTATCTTATACGATGACCACGGTGTCGGGCCATCATAGGTGGGTGGTTGAATCGTTCTGGAAGCCGACATCACGTTACATGAACCAGTGGTAGCTGCATTTTTTATTATCTTTTCAAATTTCTTCATTTTGTCTTCTATTCTATCTTCTCTAGTTTTAATTTGATCTGCTACAATTTTCTCCACTGATTGCTCGACTTCTTTTATTTTTTTGTCCATTGTTTCCATCCTTGCGTCCATTTTTCCTATTCTTGCCCTAATTTTCTCGTTCATTTCAGCAAGCATCGCCTCCATCTGTATTAGTTATTCTTCCAACACCGCTGCAGTTTGAGTTCTCGTCTCGACCGGCATAAATTCTTTCAAATTCTTGTTCGATCTCCCTGGACGTCGTCGTAAAACCGGTTATTAATCTTCAATCTCACTTCCGACACCAGTGTTACGTTGGACGGGTGATTGAAATGGACGCTCTTGACTCCACTAGCTGAATAATCCGTTCCCCAAAGGTGGACTCTATTTAAACAGCACGCGGTCCTTTTCGAAACCCTACGTCACCGCTTCTAGACTCCTCCGGAACTCCCATTCGCGATTTCCGTTTCCAGGAGTAAGACCAGAGAGTTTTCGACGGCCACAGGCGTCGTACAAGGGCGGCGTAAGGGTGTCTATTTCATAACAATATTATCGAATTTCAGTTATTTTAAAGTTAATTTGTAACAATACTAATACACTGTTCGACTCAAGTTTTATGCCTTAGTTTTTCTACCCGACTAGCTCGGGAATGGACAGATTTTATGGCATCTTGGAAGAAGTTAGAAGATAAAATGGACAATTGCAAAATGAGGACTCGATTAGTTAAAAATGCCAAAATTGTAATTATCGTGGTTGTAATTCTGATGTCTGGTAGTTTTTGTAACCCTTATATGTGATTTTTTCTGGATACACGAATTTTTAGTTGGAATACTGGGTCAATATACGTACCAATTTATAACAGTATAAGTTTTTAAATTTTTTGCTTTAAAGCATGTAATTTTTATACATTGTATATTGAATTTCTTGTAATTGGGTGCCATGTCCGTTGGAAATAAATCTATTAAGGTTATTATTATTATTATTATTATTAAGACCCACCACTGACCCGGAAATGACCAGCATTCAGGCAAGACTTCTATCATTACGGGTACTAAGACCAAGTAATGATATGCATTGATTAGATTAACATAACAACTTTCGAGATTCTAGAATTACAGCATACAAATTAGTCTGCTATTATTCTCTAATCTCACCCCATCCCTAAAAGTCTAGCGTAACCATGGCGGACTAGTATAAAGATTATGGCCTGTCCAAGAGGTACCATATGTGTTGCCATCTATTAATAATTACACTTAATAATTTAGCAAAATTTTAATTTGACTTGACATTATGGGACTTCAAAACGTGTAATGGTGGTTTGTTTCGGTATGAATGCCTTTGTGCCTTTCAAAAAGTGTTAATAATTCTTTTGTCGTTTTTGAATTATTAATAGATGGCAGCACGTATGGTACCTTTGGCATTCCTTTGGACAGGCCATAATCTTTATACTGAAACTGACCTACACTACTCTGACCTACTGTTGCTAATCTAATCTGACTGACATGATCAGACAGTTCGAGAAATTTACGAACAATATGACATGTTCCTAACAAAACAGCTTTTTGAATTTTGACAATTATTGAATCATTCAAATGCAAAGTCTTTAAATTCTCAACTAAGCTATTTGGGACTACACCTACATTAGAGATAACTAAGGGTAGAATTGAATTTTTTTAAGATTCAACATGGATTTCATTTCTATCGATAATTGTAGATATTTTGAAATCTTGGTGTGGTATGTTTGAATAATGTTGTTTGTGTTAGGAATAACAATGTCAATGAGAATAGGTTCGTTCGTGTGTTTTTTAATAAGTATGATGTCTGGTCTGTTAGCTGTAATGTTTAAGTCTGTAAGTATTGTGCGATCCCAGTATAATTTGTATTTGTTATTTTCAAGGAACGGTGACGGAATGTAAGTGTAATAGGGTGTCGTATCTTCGATTAAGTTCATGAGTGTTGCTAATTCTTTGTGAATGATTTTGGCTGCGTTGTCGTGTCTAGCTTTGTAGTCAGTTTGTGCCAGGATGCTGCAGGAGGAGATTATGTGCTGGATCGTTTCAGGTTTTGCTATACAGAGGCGAAAGCAGTCGTTTCTTATATTCGGATCTTTGATGATGTATTTTCTGTAATTCTTGGTATTGATTACTTGGTCTTGAATAGCAAACACAAATCCTTCTGTTTCGGCATACAATCTTGATTTTTTTAACCAAATCAATGACATCTTCTTGTTGATATGAGTTTCTTCTAAGTCTTTGTAGAATTTTCCATGTAGTTGTTTTTGTTTTTGACCACTTATTATTTTGTCTATTATGTGGGGTGTGTGGATTTCTTCGGTGTTCGACAGATTTAAGGGTGTGTGGTTTAAATCTGCCCTTGTGATGGTGCGAAACATTTCATTTCTTTCTGCTCGTTTCAAGAAATACTTCTTCAGATCTGAGATTTGTCTCTGATATAAGTTTTCTAGGTTTTGGAAACCCCTTCCTCCATTCTGTCTTGATAATGAGAATCTTTCAATGGACGATTTTGGATGATGTCTTCTATACTGTGTGAAGATTTTCCTTGTTGCTTTCATTACATTTTTTCCATTTAATTGTGCCTTCAATATTAATTTTAATCTCGCTAGGTATTGATCTTTCAACTGTGTTTTCGTTTTGGTATGATTGATGTGGGAGGGTTGACAGAAACCCAGATATTTGTATGTATCATTTCGTTCTTGGGCTTCGATTATTAAGTTATTCTGGGTTATATGTGGTACTTGGTGTTGGACGCCTTTTCTGATTGCTTGGGTCTTACATGTCTCAATACCAAAACACATACCAATATCACCGGAAAACTCTTTAGTCAGATTTAATAGGTTTGTTAACTGGTTTTGTCTACTTGCATATATTTTTGTCATCCATATATGGCAAGTGACTTGTTCTGTTTTCTCTTTGTATGTTAATTCTTATATTGAACCCATAATTGCAGCTGTTCAGGATATCGGAGAGGGGATTTATTGCTAAACAGAACCATAACGGACTAAGAGAATCGCCTTGAAAAATTCCTCTTCGGATCATTATTGGATCTGACTGAATTATTTGTTCATTTAAGGTTATTTGGAGGGTGGTCTTCCAAAATTCCATGGAACATTTGAGAAAAGTGCAGATTTTAGTATCAATTTTGTATAATTCCAGAATTTTGTATAGCCAGGAATGAGGGACAGAATCGTAAGCTTTCTTATAATCAATAAAAGCTGTATATATGTTTCGGTTTTCTTTTCTAGCTTGTTCACAGATGATGGAATCTATGATTAATTGCTCTTTGCAACCAAAGGATCCTTTAATACATCCTTTCTGTTCTTCATTAATGATGTCAGAGTTAAAACAGTGTTGATAGATATTTTGTGTAATGCATGAGGTTAATATTTTATAGATTGTCGGTAAACATGTGATAGGTCTGTATTTTGATGGATTTTTTGTGTCGTTATCTTTGGGTTTCAGGTATGTTACACCATGACATAAGAATGTTGGAAAGAAGGATGGGTCAAGAAGGAACTGATTTAAGTGATGTAGTAAATGAATATGTACACAATTT